CTAAGCGCCCCGCAGGCAGGATATGGCCCGCGGGCCTTGAGTCTGACAGTGAATGGACCTTGTGAACCTGTTTCCAGAGAAATTAACGGGGAAATTATTTTTTGTAAGTATAGTTCTAGAAACATTTCTTTTAATGTAATGCCATGTAATCGATTCGCTTTTCAAGACACTCGCATATAGTTTTTACAGTCTAACTATATGATTCTGGATCAACCCGGAGGAAAGTATTGAGTGAGATCCTGCAGCAATGCAATAGTCAACATCTTTATAACAACCTAGATCTGTCTCTCTTAACCTTGCCAACTTTAAAATGTGCAGACTTCAACTCCCAGAATCCCCCTGTGCTGGAAGTCAAAGGCCTCATAGTTTAAAAGTCGCCAAAGCTGAAAAACATTGCTTTACTCAGAGCCTCCTGGCTACTGCTGTCACCTGCTTCTCTAGCAGGAGCCAAGAATCTGAGAAGATTCTGCACAACTGCTAGGTCTCCTGTGTGAGCAGGGTTGGACTAGAAGACCTCCAAAGTCCCTTCCAACTCTGTTATTCTGTTATAATTTGAGATAGATTTCCTCAGACAATTTCTGTTTCTGGTCTTAAATGAAGATTTAGGTTTTAAGTCATGAACAATCTAGGATTAGGTTATCTCAAGGATGTATCTTCTCCTAATAAGCCTGATTTGCTATTATGCTCTTTAATGAAAGTTCAATGGCTTCCTGTATCACCTGAAACAAACAATATAACCTCCAAATACTTTTAGTACTGTATAGCTTAAATTTTCTATACCTCTTGGGAGAGCTTCTTTGAATGTCTTCCTTATTCTTTCCCTTCTATAGCTTATTGTCTGATGAAAAGTTCTGGAGAATTCTTTTTCTTTCCTACTCTCTTTTGTGGCATTTTAGATGGTCTTAATTTATTATCCAGTGGGACAGAGTGAGGATTTGGACAGACCATCATGGCTATTATATGTTTTACGTGTTCAGAAGGTTGTATATCCAAAATTCAATAAAAGGGTTTATTTAAAAAATAGTTTTATACAATTATCCTAATTGTTTGGCAACCAAGGGATTTCAAATTATTTAAGGAATTACTGGGATAGATTTCAGCTTTGCTAAAAGACTTTTCATTGTCCCTCCCATGTCCCCATACAGTCCTTTTTAAAGATTTACAATTACAGTGATTTATTCTAAATAAAGTGCACACTGTTGATAAAAGCCATCATGTTCAATTGTTCTCAGTGAGAGAAAAACAGCTCTTCAAGCAACTTTTATTTATTTCCCGAAGAGATTCCCCTACAAGATCATTTTTAATCATAGGATTAGGAAAGTATGAAGGGGAATTTTGCCATTCATCAGTTCCTTACAAATAATAAGCATTTCCTCCTTTCTATCAGCAACATTCTCCTGGATATTTATTGTTTAAATATCCATGTTGACAGAGCAAAAAATATCCAACACCAGAGGATGAAAATACTGTGGCAGCTGATTATTGTGTTCATTTAATCCTTTTGACAAATATGTGGAGCAGTGTGGATATAATTGACCTTTTTCAATTCATGATTAATAGGTTTCTTACTGGAATCTGCCAAAATCTCTTGTTCGTTTTACAATGTTTCCTTCCTTGCACTGTTCAGTTTTATCTTATTTTTATTTTTCTATCTTCCTTTTTTCAGCCAGAAATGTTACCCAAACCAAAATTGGACTTGTAAACATCATAAATTAACTTTAAACAATATCCTAACTAACAATATTGAGGTTATGGACAAGATGATCAATGACACAATACAATTGCAGTTGAATGGTTGTTGGGAACTTTTACTCCCCTGAAAAAGATTTGTAGAAGATACTATTTCAAAAAATAAAAGTGTCAGATTAATGGGTGCACATGAAATGACGATAAGTATAATTTATCTAGGAAATGTAACAAATATTAAAAATCATTAATTCATTTCTAAATGAAAGGCATATAATTTTTGTTGCACATGTGTTTAGTAGAAGTTTTCACCATTGTCACAATTTACTGAATATCAACAGCAAAAATACACATACAACCAAAGTTATATGAGCTGACAAGTACCCTGAAGAAAGTGTCCAAAATTCATTTTAGGGCATCTCAATCTCTTTGATCATTCATACTTCAGGTTTTTCCAGTCCTGAGCCTTTCATATATATGTTGAACCAAGTCATACCAGTTCGCAACGGGAGCGTGTGTGTGAGCTTGCTTCGCTCACGCATGTGCGGGTCTGCACATGCACAGATCACCCATGATGACGTCATGGCACGTGGGAGGAGCCTCCCGCCAGTTTTACCACCAGTTCTATAGAACCGGGACAAACCGGGAACAACCCACACTGCTCCTATTGTGTAGCCATTATGCTAGATCCTAATTGGGGGTAGTGGAATCTGTACTTCTTCCTTACTATGTAGAGCAGTCTAGATTGAGAAAGACAGAATATAAGCAATGTTATATGTTATATTGGTGTAGGCTTTCATAGCCAGTATCTTTGGGTTAGGTTGAGCATCTGGTTTAGTAGCTGTGGTCTATGCAACAGATTTCCTGACATTTCTTGAAGGTGCAAGCCACAATCACTGGTGAAAGGTCAGGAAATCTGAAATATAGATCACAATCACTAAACCCTGAAGCTCTACACTTCCCAATGTTACATATTGTTTCTGAAAACAACATGTTAAGAAAAAAAATATGTATTGAAAAGATGGGAAAGGAAGGGAAGGGGAGGGAGGGGAGAACCATTCTAGAAATGAATTTCCAGATAAGAACATAATTTTATAGACAGTTGAAAATAAACTCTTTCAAAACATGTCAATAAATAATATCAGAGAAACAACTCTGCAGAAGTTTTAGAGTAACTGTGTGCTTGTCTATTTAATCACATACATTTATTCTCAAGCAACTTTGTTCTCAAATTATGGGTATTCTTCCTGCTTGTTAACTTTGCTAACGTAGAATAGGTAGCAGAAGTGCTCATATTTACCATTTCTCATTATAGTGAATCTCATGGTCTTTTCCTTTCAGTAGGGAAAACAAATAGCTAAAACTAAAAGTCAGGGCAATGTGCAAAGCTGGTTATTATATGCTTCTACAGTGCAACAATAAATGTCAATCAGAAAATTCTACCTGTATACAAAGCTGTAAGTATAATCCCCCTCGTCTTCGTATCTATGGCATTTTTTTTTTCTGCCAGGCATTGCACAGTTTATCTCCTGTCATTTGGATTAATTTATTTTAAGTACTTAGAATATAAATGAACATTCATGACAACACAGAAGCTTAGCTAGTAATATGGGTGCCAACAAATAGAAGCAAATCAGCCTCTTGAAGAGGCACGTATCAAAACAGCAGGGAGTTTAGCTTTTCTATCAGTCATGCTGAAAAACTGTGTGCTCTACATTATCGTTCCATCGATGGATTTATTTTAGAGACTTCCAGTCCAACGCTTCATATCTAGCCTCAAATTATACTTTTCATTTCAAGACTGAGCATAACCATTTGTCACCTTTATTTGCTATTCGTTTGTTTATTCAATTTGTATAGCTGCTCATCTCATTCAGTGACTCTGGGTGACTTACAAGAGCTGAAACAATAATCCAATAAAAAAACAAGTTAAAAACCAATATATGTACCAGTGGTGAAATCCAATTTTTTTTACTACCGGTTCTGTGGGTGTGGCTTGGTGGGCGTGGCAGGGGAAGGATACTGCAAAATCTCCATTCCAGCCCACTCCTGGGGGAAGGATATTGCAAAATCTCCATTCCCTCCCCACTTTGGGGCCAGCCAGAGGTGGTATTTGCCAGTTCTCTGAACTACTCAAAATTTCCGCTACCGGTTCTCCAGAACCTGTCAGAACCTGCTGGATTTCACCCCTGATATGTACATATAAAAACATTGATAACCTCAAATAACCATGGTCAGTAGCCAAAGTCCACTCTATAAAAGTCCACTTTTACACAAAGCCATTGTAAAAATTCCCCACCATTGCCAGACTCTCAAGCATAGGGCCACAGCTATGTCTGTTTCCTTTCCTGTTTCGTGATTTGCAGTAGAAACATATTTCATCATTAATTTAGAGCAGTCTACTATGGTGTACACAGAGCTATGCTATGGAACAGGCCTATTTCCCAGCAACTCTCTGATCCTTCTTAGATTAGGTTCTCAATATTCAAACAAACATTTTTTTCCACTAGTTTATATTTTTTCCCACAGATTAGCACTGATGATGTTATCTAGTTAGGGTAATGAAATGTTTGCAAGAAAACAAGCAAGCCCAGAGAGCACCAAGGACCCCTCATTTCAACCCTGAGCTACAAACATTCTCCTTTATTGGTAAAACATGTTTTTTCACTATCCAATCAAACCATTATTTCAGATAGTGATATCGGTCTGAATCTGATGAGCAGAAAGGCCACTGCAGCATGGCGTTTCTATTGTGATCCGTACTCAGTGCCTTTATCTGCGATGTATTAGGAGAAATCAAAAGAGTTGGGTAATTCAAGTCTCAAGCCTCATCAGTCCTGAATACTGAACAAGCAAGCACCCACAGTGCTGAGACGTTGGCTCAAAATAATAGAAATCTTACTTCTTTTCTATATTCCCAATTAAATCAATGCTTAACAACAATACTTAGCAATATGCAGAACCTTAAATAATAGTCTCTCTGTTATCCACAAAACCATGTTCTGGCTCAAAAGATCCTTAAACTTATTATTTTTTTCCAGGATCTTCAATGTTTTTTTTGTTTTTGTTTTTTTGCCAAAGAAGGGTTCTTACTTGTTGATTATTCATTTCTGATTTCCCTTACTAGATGGAACTTTGACAAAAAACAATACACCTCACCAAAAGCAAACATTCTTAGCTAACCATCAAGGAAATGGAAGAGCATCCTCTATTTACCTCTGACAGCTCCACCTTATTAGTTGCATGGAAAATTAGCCCAAATCTCCCACTATATAAGAGTTTAAGAGTTCAGGTGACTTAGTCCTGCTGGTCAGAGGCTGGCTGCACACACATTGCTACCAAACTCCATTCAAGATGGGGTGTGGTAGAGGACCCAGGATACCATTATGGGTTATAATTCTAGTGATCTGCTGTATCCAACAGAAAGGTAAAAAAAAAAAAAAAACCTCTCATTTTTTGTGGTATATTTGTAAAAAAAAAAAAAGCAATTAAATGTATAATAAATTGATTTTGAAAAACAGTTCATTCGATTTGTAAATTATATGGGTTTTTCAATTTCAGCGAGTTCCTTTCCCCAACAGTTAGTACTATTTAAACAAAACATTTAATGTATCTTTCTTCATTGAAGGAAACCTTTTAATTTGATGCAGCCTGAAGTAAAATATGCTTAATGGCATATCTATGAAGAAGGCTTTGAAGATTAAATCTAATCTTATAAAAGTTTAAATCTCTCTCCAAAAGTTATTTCATCCTCAATACAAATTTCTAATCAAAATAATTAGCTTGTATTGATGAAGTTTACTGTATGTCTCTTGTTTCAGAAGAAGACTTCAGAAGAAAGACTTTTTAAGTTATTCCAATACCTTCATTAATTTGTAAAACCTATATAGAATTTGGAAACTTAACATTCAAAGAAAGATAACAATATCCCTTTTGAACGATGCTACTTATTTGAAGAGATTGGAAAGAGTGAAGCATTTTTGGCCTAAGAAGAAGGTCTTGAACTGTTTCATTTTTAAATAAAATATTAAACCTTGCAGTCTATAACTAACCTTTGAAGAACAATAACACTAACAGCTTCCCTTTATCTAAACAATAACCTTGTGCAGTTTGGTAGACACGAGTATACAGTATATTCTGTATATGTTAGTTGTTGTTTTTAAGGAGATTAATTCTCGTATCAAAACTTGGGTATTGTTGAAAAAGAAAAAGTTATTCATTCTTCTTAATTATATAAATGGAGAGATGGAATGAGACTCAGTTGTTCAGGCACCCATGTCTTTGCATCTGACCTTATCTTTTATCTGGATTACAAAACCTGGATAGTCGCCACCAGATAGGAACAAAGAGTCAATTTTCTGTATTTTTTGCAGCTGATATATAGAGATGACACACAACCCTTTTAATAGCCAATGAATGTGAATCAAATTTTTTATTTGAATTTAGACTAAAATGTTTTCCATTTGCTTGTTTTTCAAAGAGTAATATGGTTTCATTTCATTCAAGAGCCATTAAGAAGACATGTTTTGTTGCATCCCATAAAGCAACTGATAGTTACTACCCCTCTCCCCTGAACTGAAACACATATCCTGTTATACCATCAATCTATATATAAATCTAAAACTAAGCCTTTGATTATATAAAACGGAAATGAATCAAGAAATTATTCATTTCAATCAGCTGCATTGTCATTAATTTCCAACTTTAATCCTTGATTCTACCAGTTGCAGTGCTCAAAAGTATCATTTTTTCCCATTCAGACAAACAAGATTATTAAGGGTATAACTTTGTTAGATTATGTCCATGTAAAATATTTCTTCATTTTAGTTAGATGTTATACTGTATCAATTAATCCAAGTTGGAGGATCTCAAGAATCTGCAATCTTTTCAAATGTCCTATTTTTCTATATTTTATGTGGAACATTCTCCCACAGATAGCTTCCACATAACTGTATGGGGAGTCACTAAAATTGGGTTTAGAAAGCCAGTATGTCTTGAGGATAATGATGAAGGAATGGGGCAGAGATAAGCAAATGGTAGGGGGATTTTGACATCCCTTTGTGTGAATATCTGACCTCCTGTATTGACGCCACTGAAATTTATCATTAAATCCTCAATAAAAGGAGATGCACATGTTCAATTTTAGCAGGAAAACAAAATAAAAGAGGCATAAACTGAATTTAGTCATGCAACTGAAAAAGAGAAAAAACAATGAAAAACTCAAGCTCTGCTCATTTGTATGACATAATTTTTATGAAGCCTTTGTTTGACTACTTCTGCTGTATGTGTGCACATGAATAAGAAAATGTTCTTTTCTCTGTAGCTTCAAGTGCAGAAGATGTACCTGAAAGAGTTACCATCATCCCAACAGTGAAAAAAATTTCTGTTATATCAAGTAAGTGACTAAAATGAAATGTTCTTGTATCTATGACAGGGGTGTCAAACATGCATCATCACAGCGGCATCACATGATATATCATGACTTTTTTCCCCTTCGCTAAATTGAGCATGGGCATGGCCAGCGCATGACGCATCTGGCTTGCGGGCCGCGAGTTTGACAGCCCTGATCTATGAGATTTCATCATGGAGCCAACAATATTAATAAAGTATCTGGTAGTGGGTAGTCCTTGACTTATGATCACAATTGAACCCAAAATTTATGTTGCTAAGTGAGAAATTTGTTAAGTGAGTTTTGCCCCATTTTACAACTTTTTTTGCTACATTTGTTAAGTGAATCACTGTAGTTGTTAAATTAATAACACAGTTGTTAAATTAATCTGGTTTCCCCATTGACTTTGCTCATCAGAAGATTGCAAAAGATGATCACATGACTTTAGGACACTGCAACCATCTTAAATATGAGTCAGTTGCCAAGCATCCGAATATTGATCACATGACATGAGGATTTTGCAACTGTCATAAGTGTGAAAAAAATGGTCATACGTCTCTTTTTCCAGTGCCATTGTAACTTCAAATGGTCACTGAATGAATTCTTGTGAGTCAAGGGCTACCTGTACACAGATTGATGGATAATTCAGTAGATATGTAACATCAAATATCTACAGATTCAGAAAGAATTCCATAAATCATTGTGTCTGGCAGCTATTCTTAGAAATTTTAGTAACAGTTTAAATGATTTTATTTGTTCAAGGATTTTATTTTGTTGTATTACTGCTGATTTTACATTCTGAATTTTACTATATCTGTATTATTCCATTTGCTGCTGTGCTTCAATAGTCTGCTTTTCATCTAGCCAGATTTGGGTTTTGGGATTATTTTAGTATAGTTTAGTGTAGTTTAAGTCAATAGGCTAAAAACCAGAAGACTGTGAATTCTAGTCCTGCCAGTTTGATGACCATGAACCAGTCACTCCCTCTCAGCCCTAGGAAGAAGGGCCTGGTGGCTTAGCAGACTAATAGCATTGTGATTAACACCAGCTGTCTGCAATTACTGTAAGTTCGAATCTCACCACGCTCAAGATTTAATTCTTTTTAATTATCTTAACTTTTGTATTGTATATATTTTTAATTTTGGCTGTTCACCACCCTGAGTCCCTTCTGGGAGAAGGGCGGTATACAAATTAAATAAATAAATAAATAAATAAATAAATAAATAAATAAATAAATAAATAAATAAATAAATAAATAAATAAATAAAAAGGTTGACTCAGCCTTCCATCTTTTCTAAGGTAGGTAAATTGAGGACCCAGTTTGTGGGGGCAATAAGCTGACTTTGTATAAATATACAAAAGTATGAAGGCTATTGCTTAATGCATTGTAAGCCTCCCTGAGTCTCCGGAGAAGGGCAGCATATAAATCAAATTTTTTAAAAAAAGGCAAGGACAAGCCACTTTTCAAATCTTTCCAAGAAAACTGCAGGGATTTGTTCAGACAGTACAAAATGAGAGTACAACCAATGTTTTTCTTACTTCAAACAATTTTTTGAAGTAAATTACATAAATATGGTAAACAATGCTATAACAAAAGAGGAAGTAGACCATTAGTCAATACTGAATACATAAACTAGTGATAAAAACTATGAAGCAATCCTGAGTACAGTGAATTTTCAAGAAAGATATCACCACTATGTATTGTATGTATGTAATACCCAGTATGGTTTTTTTCTCTACTGTAAGTTTTTTTCATTGGGTACTAGGTAAGTAGCTTTAATGTCCTTAGTCTTAATGTCCTTAGTTATCAATCACCGCTGAATCTGAAACAAACCATCTAACTCCCCACCCCATATCCCACCTCGTTTGCTCTATACTATTTTCAAGGATCCTATTTCCCTTATTTCCCATAGAATCAAAATCAAATGAAGTATTAGTACTGCTTTATAAAACCTTAGTAAAACCACATCTTTTGTAACTACGTTACAAAAAAAGATGTTGAGACGTTGGAAAAAATGGAAAGAGGAGCAGCTAAGATAATTAAAGGCCTGGAGACAAAAACATGTGAAGAACGGTTGCAGGATTTGGGTGTAGCTAGTCTGGAGAATTGAAGGACTAGGGTGACATGATAGCAGCAGTATTTCAGTGTTTGAGGGGCTACCACAAAGAGGGGGTCAACTTATTTTCCAAAGCACCAGAGGGCAAGACAAGAAACAATGGATGGAAACTAATCAAGGAGAGAAGCAACCAGGAATTAAGGAGAAACTTCCTAACAGTGAGGACAATTAACCAGTAGAACAGCTTGCTTTCAGAAGTTGTAGGTGCTTCATCACTGGAGGTTTTTAAGAAAAGACAGGACAGCCACCCATCTGAAATGGCATCGTTTCCTGCTTGAGCAGAGGGTTGGACCAAAAGAATTCCAAGGACCCTTCCAGTTTTATTCTGATCTTATTTCCACAATAGCAAACTGCTTAGCTGTATTTACAGACCTTTGCAACCCATTTTAAATCTATCATGATACAGAGAAACCTGATCTTGTAGTCTGCTAAAGGCACAAGGCTTCTTTTACCACTGCTGAGCTTGCTTGTTTGCAGTTTAGCAAACTCATGTTACTAAGTATCTAATTATGGTTTACTCCAGTTGCTACCCAGGAACGAGGCAGTCATTTTAATCTTGTGGATTTGCTTCGTGATAGCTCCACAATTATTCAGCTTCCACCAGGCTAGTTTTCCTCTAGAAGAGCTTTCTCTACCATGATAGCAGATATGTTGGTCTTCATCACACTTGGGAAGACATTAGAGTAAGGGACCCAGGCCTAGAGAAAATCCAGAACTACTATTACTCCATTTCTAAGTCAAGAACACAAAAGAAGGATCATCAGAGCAAAAATGGAGGAGCCAAATGCTGCTCCTGTCTAAATGTTAAGCTCTATGCCCCTCTATTTATCTATTTATCCACCCCAAACAAAAATGTAATAATGGTGTATGTATTAATTCTTTACATCCTCTTGGGTTTTCACAGCCGTTCACTCCGCTCATAATGGACAGGTCTGCAGTACATGGGGTGCCTTTCACTTCAAGACATTTGATGGTGATATGTATAATTTTCCTGGAGTCTGCAATTACATATTTGCCTCCCATTGCACTGAACCATTTGAAGATTTCAACATACAAATTAGACGCCAAGCAGTGGGGAACACCTCCACAATTAGCTCTGTCACCGTGATGCTGGCCGGAACAGATTTTAAAATGGAAAAAGATCAAATTTTGGTAAATGACAAACGGTAAGTCCTTAGTTCTGCATGCTGAATAAAGTATGTTTTGTGGAGATTCTCATCTAGAATTCACAGCAAACTCTGAATTTTGTATTTCTCAAAATTTTCATGTAGAAGTATGGACTACAGACATAGGCATCCACAAGAGAGGGATAAGAGAGGGGAAATCATGCATTGTGACACAAATTCAGCCTTCACATATTTGTGTACAACACTAGACCATAAATGCAAAACGGCAGAAAAAGTATTGTGATAACACATATGCACATTCTGTCATCATCATAGTTAGTATTGACAATTATCACCAAACATGCCTGAAGATGCAGATGTTTGTAATGTCAAAACACTTGCAGATGAGTACAAGATTTGAGGACATCCTAAGTGGCATTATTTCAAACATTGATGAGGAAGACAAGTTAAATTTTTCGGATCAGTTTCTGTTGCTTCTAACTTTTGGAACATGAGTAAAGAAACAAGCAGAATACCATGATAAGAAGTTATGTATAGCATACATGTGGAAGAAAAGAAGTCCAAATACTTACATCATCTCGTTAGATTACCTTTTTTTTCTGTTGTGGGTTTTAAATTTAGGAAGGGCTGCAATCCTTAGGTGAGTTGATAGCTATGTGACCAAAGAATCTGAAGAGGCTAGATAATGACTAGAAGAAATTATTCATCAGAAACTGTTCTTCTAACCAATAGGAGATGACAAGAACAAATGACTGTGGTATTATATAGATTTGAAAAGGAATAGGAATTTTTGTTTAGGTTTCATATATTAGCTATTTCTTTAAATTCACCTTAACCAATGAAAGTCCCTGCCTATTGGCCATGCTGATTGAAATTGATGGTTGGAACATTCAGAGAATCTTAACTGAGAATATCTTACCTATAGGCCCATCTGTATTTATTATTTAAGATGCTTGCGTCTGGTATCTAATGGTCATACAAGTTTGGTTTTAAGCTAATTTAAGAAAATCTCATCCAGACTGAGACACCTGAGCAACAGTTTGCAAGGTATTCATACTAAACTGCAAACTCTATGACCTTCCATTGGTCAGTTCCCCACCGCTCCCCTTCTTTTCTGTGACAACAATTGTCAATCACCTTCTTTCACATGGACAGCCTTACAGAATAGAATAGAATAGAATAGAATAGAATAGAATAGAATAGAATAGAATAGAATAGAGAAATAGAAATAGAAATAGAATCTGGAAGGGACCTTAGAGGTCTTCTAGTCCAGCCCCCTGCTCAAGCAGAAGAGCCTATACCATCTCAGGCAAGTGACTGTCCAGTCTCTTCTTAAAAACCTCCAGTGATGTAGTGCCCGCAATTTCTGGAGGCAAGTTTTGTTCCACTGGTTAATTGTCCTCACTGTTAGGAAGTTTCTCCTTAATTCCTTACAAGATGTATATATGTGTGTGTATGTGTGCATGTGCAGACAAAGTTGAATTTTAATATACAAAGATAAAGTATGAAAATATGCAGGCATAAGAAGCAATCCTTTTACAGAATAATCCTTTCTTACTGCCTTACAGATTTTAGAGCTACCTGTATAATGAATGTTGTAATAGTGCAATTGTTGGTGTACAGGTAGACCTCGACTTATAACCACAGTTGATCCCAAAATTTCCAGGTAGTTGTTAAGTGAATTTTGCCCCATTTTTCGATCTTCCTTGCCACAGTTGTTAAATGAATCACTGTAGTTGTTAAGTGACCCATGCGGTCATTAAAGCGAATGGCTTCCCCATTTACTTTGCTTCTCAGAAGATCGCAAAAGGTGATTGCATGGCCTCGGGAAACTGCAACTGTGATAAATACATGCCAGTTGCCAAGCATCCAAATTTTGATCACATGGCCATGGGGATGCTGCAATGGTCATAACTGTGAAAAAAAGGGTGCTGTTGTAACTTTGAATGGTCACCAAACAGATGGCTGTAAGTCAAGGACTACCTGTACTCATTTTATTTGAATGCTGCTGATTTGAATGAAGGAAGAAACTTTCTTAATTACTATTTTTTCTTCCCTCAACTTGTTAGGGTTCTCCATGAGTTTATTATCAAGTCTGTCACTGCATTATTTTATTGTTTTTCTAGTCATTCATAACTGAGTATTATCACAGCACTCACATTAAACTATAGTTCTAAAAATATATCACAAGCCACAATAAGTAGTGACTCCATTGAAGGGGCATTCCTGCCTCTTCAAAATAGTCAATGACCTATCAGAAATAGTCAGGACCACTCAATGTAATATGAAAAAGTATGCTTAGAAAATAGGAAGTAGAACAGAAAGTGAGCCCATCTGGCACTAGTGGATAGATCTAAAGACAATGGTGGCTCTTCGGACTATTATTTGCCTGTTCTGCCCGTATCTTTTATATTAACAATAATACAAAACATCAACAAGACACTAATACCTTTCTTCCAGAAAAAAATGAAACCAGAGTAAATGCAGAGTAAATTACTTGAGTAAATGCTGCATCCCTAAACTTCCATGCAAAAAAAAAATGGGGGGGGGCATGTAGAAATATTGTGACATAAATGACACTTTGTATTTCTAATGCATTCTTATCAGGATTCAGTTACCTTACAATGGACCTGGATTTGAAATAGAGAATTTTCTCAACTATATTAAAGTGGTTAGTAAAATTGGCTTAACCCTAATGTGGAATAAAGAAGACAGTCTAATGGTAAGTATATAATGATGTAGAACTGATAAATGTGAGCTATAAGAAAATAAAGCTGGATGGATGGAATCTAGTTTCAGATGCCGGCTTCTTCCAAAATATTCTATGCCATTCTGTTTTCTGTTTTTGTCTCTAGCACATTTCCTGCATTCTGTGATTTCTGATCACTCTCACTTTTAGAGCTCACTTCCCACATAGAGAGACAGAGAGAGACAACTGAATTTAAGCTATCTTTATGTTTGATTCAGAGTTCTAAAAGCTACAGCCAAGTGGACAATTATTGCACAACCGTTGAAAACAACACTAGCTGCTTACTGGGGCAAGGCTTTGCTTATGATACATAATTAAGGCCTCATATGACTTGCAACCACCTATGTCACAGATCATCCCTCTCAATACAGATATGATCACTAAAATTCAAAAGTCAAGTTTATTTGCAAGGAGATCCTCTCAGAAGTGGTAGTTACATACTGAAATGTTCTCCCTCAGTGCTTGAGGGAGCTTCGTTTCATCATCCAAATTGGGTAAAAATGAAAAGAGAAGGCTAAGCTGGAATCATAACTCTACATCTAAGTTCAAGTTTAATGTATGAAGCAAAGACATGGCTCAAATTAAGAATTAATCAATTGGCAAACCAAGGTAATATAATAATTAATTAAGACTTCAACTGGGAGTCCCAAATTTAATCTACATTGAAACATGCCTGAGGCAATCATTCTTCCTCTCTGGTTGATCTATCTTACAAATTATTATTATGGGATAAGCTTAAGGAATGATCCTCTATATAACAGCTTGAGTTCTCAGAGAAAAAGTAGGATATAAATGCAATAAAATAAGACATTGAGTAGAAACACAAATACCATAGTAATACTTGTTCCTCCTTTAAACTTCTCAGATTAGCTATAGAGACAAGGAATGTTTTTTCAAATGCTCCTATATACATCTGTATATAACTATTATGTTGCCAATAACGGTCCTAGATAATGGTCCTTTATTTAAAAACCCTTTCACACTAAAGTAAGCTATCAAGCATGTTTCTATACTTGACATTTTATTTCTATGTTTAAAGACGAAAGCACATTTAGATTATATATTTAACATATACATAGGTCTGTAATCTCAAATTTTCATTGTCTGGTAATTTATTAGTTTCATAGGTTGTAACCTTAATTGCAAATTTGGGGTTTGGGGATGTTTCCTTCCTCAAAAGTACAGAAATGATAAGGGAAACAAAGGAGTTAATTTTGTTAGGACTAGTACAATGAAAATTAGGTTATTATGACTAATATTGAGCCTGTGATTCCCAAAGGAAATCCCAATTTTCTATCCAATAAATTCACTTTGGATTGTTGAAACATAACTTTGATAGACACTATTTTGGTTTATCTAGTGCAGGCATAGTCTTGAATCTCCAATAGTTATTAGGGAAAGTTAATCTACTACATGTTATCAACCTTCACATATGTAATTTCAGCTGGAACTTGATAAAAAATATGCCAATCAGACCTGTGGACTTTGTGGAGATTTTAATGGCATTCCAAAGTACAAAGAATTTTATTTTGAGAGTAAGTATATAAAAAAGGCCTTATTGGATTTATTTATCACCCTCTTTAATTCAATGAATGCTACGGAACCGTACTGTAGTTTTTCATAATCCTGATATTTCAATATGGTGGAAAAAATCCTTTTTTCCTCAATATTTTGATCATTAGTATCAACAACCCAGTAATTTTGCCTCATACCTGTCATTCTTCACTTTTTACATCTTTGAACATTGGATGAATATTAGGTTCCATATTCACCAAAACAAAGAAATTCCCAAATTTTAAATGTTCTCAAATTTAGAATTAGTACTTTAATCACCTTGTTCTCTGCCTTAAGAATATCAAATCATTTGTGATTTCAAAATAATGTGTAGATATTTTATTATTTTAAGTTTGAAAGATGCGACTGTATGACATTTGGGGCTAAAACAGGATGGTTTTTACTCTTTAACCACAATATCAGGGTCATAAATTGTACTGAAAAGTTAAACAAAAACAAAAAAAATCCTATATTATCCAGTGGCAAAGTACTTCTATAGTGGTGTCAAGAAAAACTGCACAATGTCTATGTAATTACCAGGAATTAAACTTAACTCAAGAGTGTCTTTTCATTTTTCCCATCTCCCCTTATTAAACCACCTCATACATATAGATAGACTCAGAGATGTAGATCAATATAATTTCATATGAAAAACTTATATTCTTTCTCATGTATGAAAGTTGAGGTGCTACAAACAAGAAAGAGCTCTTTAACTTATTGGGGATTGGATTTAGATTAATTTTGCTTTTCTAGAAGCCACACAGATCTTTAGATCTTGATCAACTTTCATAGCTAATTTGACATGGTTTTCCTGAAAGGAAATCTTAGACAGAGGTGCTACTAGTTTACAAATCTCTATTATGACTTTATTTTTTTTGAAGATACCCCTATAACAGGCTTCCAGTCTGGGAATCAATGGAAAGTGAATGATCCGACAGAAGATTGTGAGGATCCTATACCTCCTCCTCAGAAGAATTGCAGTGATGAACATGTGAGAATTTTCTTTCTTATTCTTCTGCTTTGCATTTGTCTGATTTGCAAAAGGATTCTAGAAACTTATATTTTAAAATTATTAGCTGCCATGTCATTGAAAATAATTGATTCTCTCTCAATCTGCTCCACAGCTATATTATTATAATATTGTGTGATGGAAGGTAGAGAGAGGAGCTGAATTTCCAGGAGGGAAGGGATGCATTCCAGAGGAATAAGAGGCAAAATCAGTCCAGTTGTTATGAATGAGAAGAAGAGAGTGGAGACAGCTCTGCCTTAATAGTTCTTAGAGTATATTGTAGATGCAGATAGTAGAGTGCTCAGTCTGGCAAGAGTTTGCCTATGTGTGAAACAATAAACAACTTCAGTTTGGAAGAATTACCATGTATTGATCTTGTTTTGGGGTCTGACATCTTAGGTTGGAATCTAACTTTGGAGGAAGGGCTTATGTTACTGTGTAAAATACAGGGATCTAGTCTATGATATAAGCAAGAAAAATGGGGGCTTTTTTAAAAAAGGGAAAGCCCCCCCCCCATTTTAGAAGGAAACTGTTTCATAAACTCTTTTTTGCCTTTTGTTTTTCCATCTAGGATATTTGTCGAAAAATACTAACTGGTTCTGCATTTTCTGAATGTAATGATATTGTCAGTGTGAATAGCTACATTGATGCTTGTGTACATGACTTGTGTCTCTGTGATAAAGTTGAAAAATTCTCCTGTCTCTGTGACACTTTCACTGAATACTCTCGACAATGTGCTCACGCTGGTGGCCGACCTCAAAACTGGAGAAGTCCAGAACTATGCCGTAAGTGTAAACTTCTGCCAAACAAGTGACCAAAGTAATTTGAGTCTAATGGGTATCAAACTCACGGCATCACGTTGCCATCATGTGACATTTTATGATGGTTTTTCCCTTGGCGGAACTGGGGTGGGCGTGGCCTGCTCATGGAACATCTGGCCTGTGGGCCGCCAGTTTGACACCCCAGCTTTAAACTTATCAGGATTCTTGATTCAGATTCATTTTCTAGTTGAAAGTATGGAAATGAAAAGATGCTGCCAAAACAAGAAATATATGAGTGAATAGATTTCTACTTGCAACAGAAAACAATAAATATTACATTACAAATAAAATATTACATTTCACAGATCCCTGTACTAGTTATAGAGTTATGAACAGCTTGAAGGATCAGAGAAGATGCAAGTCTTACTTTCCCAGACAATACACAGTTCAAAGGAATTGGGAAAGTCACAAAGATGGCAAATTTAATCATTCTTCAAAAGTACTAAAACATATTAGCACTATTCTTTAAGCAATGAGATGAAGAAAGCAACTGGATAAACAATTGGATATGTTCTGGTGTGTGGCAAGCTCTGTTTTTTCTGCTCAGTTATTCAGCTAAGATGAGAAACAGCTGAACTGGGTAATCAATCACTGAGGAATCATGTTCTTGCTTATATTGTTTCTGCTCTCAAGAAGTTTTGAACAATGAAGCATCAAAGGAAAAGGAGAGAAAAACTCTGAACAGATCTCTTCTCTCTGTGTGTGTGTCCATCAAAAAATAATAATGGATACATATAAATTATAAACTATTTGGCTAGACTGGCAAGCACCCATAGACCATAAATAAAGAACATGAAATATATGCAAAAAAAACAAGAAACAGGTGGTAGGATGTGCCTTTAATTTAAATTAAAGGCACTTTAATTTAAAAATGATTTCTGAAAACATAATTAATTTCATTCAAAACAATCAATTATGAATGTCAGTTGCTACTTGGGGTTGCATCCTGTATTATTGCAATGTGTTGTACTTGGGGACACCTTCGGATACTATCCGAATGCTGATAGTTTATAAAATATAGTGGCCCACCTGTTACCTGACACATGTCCCCAGTAAGCATTATACCTGTGCTGTGACCCCTGCATTGGTTTCAAGTAGGCTTCCAGGTGCAAACTGAAGTGCTGGTTTTGCTGTATTAAGACCTATATTTTTGGCACCTACATGTTCTTAGAATTTCATTCTTCAATCTGGATTGATTGTATCAAGAGAAACTATTGGTATATTAGTTCTCCCCATAAAGCAAGGAGGACTGAAACACTGAGGTGCTATTTTTCCATGACAGCATCAAGCAATCTTCTAGCAGAGATCAGGCCAATCCTCTGTTTTCAAATGATGCTGAAAACCAAGCTCTTCCACAAAGTTTTTGTAGTATGAGCGACTGCTATGTGGATTTTTCCTGTTTGTTGATTTTGGTTGGGATATTATGATGATGTTGATGATCAAGATGCAATTATCCTGTTATCATGGATGCCTTATCTCATGTATCTTTGTTAACTGCTGAGAGTTCTTTCAAATTATGGCATGTTGCAAGGCTAATGAAGAACATGATACATATTACTGATAATGATTCTCTGTCAGGGTTATTTTATACACAGCATGCTGTGCGGAGAACTGACCTAGTCTTATTGTTCTTATTTCAGCAATATCATGCTCTTTGGATATGCAATATCAAGAATGTGGATCACCTTGTGCAAATACTTGTACTAATTCTGAAAGATCTCATGTCTGTGAAGATCACTGCGTAGACGGCTGCTTTTGTCCACCAGGTGAGCTGCCCTCTTCAGCGTAAATTATTCTATTATCGAGGGGGGGAGGAAATGTGAGAATATGGAGCTAAGTATGCATACTGTACTACTGTGCCATAAACACAATAATAAAATAGTATTGTCTACTATATATACTCCCTTTAGTACTTTCTAAAAAAAAAATGGTATAGAAGAATTTCAATGAAAATGAAATGAAACTGTTCTGGCCCATGTTGAAAATCCATTATAATTTATTTGTCCTCATAGGAACTGTTTTTGATGACATCAACGGCGAAGCCTGCATCCCCTTTGAGCAATGCTCCTGCATTTATAATGGAGAATCTTATGCTCCAGGGATGACATATTCAGCTCCATGCCGTTCCTGGTAATTCATATCTTTTGATACATTCAGCCAATGTTTTGTGCGGGAATCTAGTTTTCATCGGTGATGTCAATATTTTTTATTTGTAATTCTTGATTTTGGACTCTGATCTAAAGTCCATACTTCCATTTAACCTCTCAGATTGCATATATTAAAGGTAAAGGTAAAGGTTCCCCTCGCACATATGTGCTAGTCGTTCCTGACTCTAGGGGGTGGTGCTCATCTCCGTTTCAAAGCCGAAGAGCCAGCGCTGTCTGAAGACATCTCCGTGGTCATGTGGCCGGCATGACTCAATGCCAAAGGCACACGGAACGCTGTTACCTTCCCACCAAAGATGGTTCCTATTTTTTCTACTTGCATTTTTTACATGCTTTTGAACTGCTAAGTTTGCAAAAGCTGGGACAAGTAACTGGAGCTCACCCCATTACGTGGCACTAGGGATTCGAACCGCTGAACTACCAACCTTTCGATCGACAAGCTCAACGTCTTAGCCACTGAGCCACCATGTTCCTTTTGCATATATTACTTCTGGCTATTAATCTATCCTTCAGACTCATTCAAAAGGGAGATTCTGCTGGATTTTTAAAACTAGCTGGGTAACTAAAGAATAGCAGTTAACTAATGAGCATATTGTTAAACTAAGACTCTTTAGGAGAAAGAAGAAAATGGAATGCTACCTTTTGCAGGTATTGTTCACTCTGACTGACAAAAGCTTTGCAAGATCAAAGACAAAGGCGTTCTCACACTTGCAGCTATTACCTCTTCTGTTCCAAATGTACAGTGGAAGACAACACATTTTTTTTTAATTAGCTGATAAACATTCAGAAATCTCAAAAAGAATGGCAAAATATTGCTCAATCATGGTTGCAATAAGGAAACATTAAGCACTGTCATATTGTTCCATGCTGGAAGATAAGCTATATATTTTTCTCTTTAATATTTTAGTGTATAGTTTCACGTTAATGTTTGATATTATATTTGGTCTGGCAGCATAAATAAATAAACCTACATGTAAACACTTGCTGCATTCTATTAGTTTCCTGGAAATGAAGCTATGATCATGTAATAGATCATGCCTTCCATAGCTTTTGAATTACAAGGTAATATTGATTGACTCTATCAAACTAAGTATCTATATTTATGTATTCAAAATGGGGATTTAATTGATACCATAGCAAAATAATACAAGATAAGTAAGTACTTTTTCTTCAAAGTTAAATCCCTAATTTTAGATTCTTTTTTCTCCAGTGTCTGCAGTGGTGGTGAGTGGAATTGCACAGAGCTTCCTTGTCGTGGTATTTGCTCAATAGAAGGAGGATCACATATCTCCACCTATGATGAAGTGTGGTATAATTTCCATGGAAAATGTAATTATATTCTAACTAAGGCAAGTCATCTAAGATTTCACATTAGCAAAAATGTCTTTAGGTACACAACCTAAACCTGAGCTTCTATTTCTAGAATTATAAAATTACATTTATTGTTCCCAATGTCAGTCCTTTGCTATAAATATCATATCACACGGTTTACCCAGTTTCTATTTCTAGATTTTATTTATATCTTGCATCTTTCCCTATAAAATGGTAGTTTTCTTTTATATATATACATTAAAAAGAGGAATTCTTGGCTGATGGAGAAGAATTTCACCAAGCTATTGTTTTCTTTCCAGATGTAAACAATAGCCATTTTAATCTGATTAAATCAATTACTATATTAGTGTGATCCAAAAAACAGATAGAAAACTCTGTATGCTGCTCAATAAAATGGCTTGATAATGAAAACAAAATTAAGCTAGCTAGGAAGAGACTGAGCAATTCGGAAAATGCTCTAACTTAATCTGACTCTTCACCTCTGTTCTAATAAAATTGGTTCAATGTTTAATATTATGAAAAAGAATATAAAGAATATAAGCCGCCCTGAGTCTTTGGAGAGGGGCGGCATATAAATTTAATTAATTAAATTAAATTAAATTAAATGAGAATTTCCTGTTTTTCCAACTAAGATGGACTCAAATTATTCCCTTTCTTTGCAAAGTCAACCAAAGTACTATAGAAGTTATCCCAAAATATTTTTAAAGTAGCATCTTTGAAATCTGTCTGTTGTCTTATTATCTTTTTCCTGGTCTCTCTTCCCCCAGATTTGTGACGAAGAAACCTTTACTGTTCTTGGAGATCTTGGGCCATGTGGCTTCACAGAGTCTGAGACTTGCTTAAAAATGGTGGTTCTTACCATCAATGGAGGAGAAACTGTAAGAACCTTAATTAATCAAAATTGCTCAGGTGCCATTGAGTTGATTAGGCTTGCCTACCAATCTAAAAAATGCCTTTTGCTGACAAAATAATGACATATCTAATAAGCAGAATTCATTTCTTTTTCTATATTTAAACAAGAATTACATTGCTAGAAGTAAAATGAAGGAGCTTTAAAACTCTGGATTACAGCAGTTTAATTTCCTTTTTTTCTTAAGTAACAGTTCAGTTAAATTCCTGTCAACAACTAAACCAAATTAAATTAAATTAAATAATTTATTTAAATATGAATTGATGAGAGGTGAGAATTTTACTTAGCACTTGCAATGTCTCTCCCTTCTTACCTTTCCTTCTGCCTTCTTTCCCTCCCTTCCCATATAATTCATTTATATTTACAAACATATCCACATTTATATGTAGATAGATAGATAGATAGATAGATAGATAGATAGATAGATAGATAGATAATGGATGGATGATAGATGATAAATGATAGATGATGATAGATGATAGAGAGATAGATATTTTTATTTATTTATTTATTTCATCAAGCATGTATTAGATAACAGATATAAGTATAAACATGAATACATGAAATGGATACGAATAAAAGGGAATTTTAGGACAGGGACAGTAGGCACACTGGTGCACTTATGCACACCACTTAAAGACCTCTTAGGAATGGGGTGAGGTCAACAGTAGACAGTCTAAGGTTAAAGTTTTGGGGGTTTGGGGAAGAAACCACAGTCAGGTAGTGCATTCCAGGCATTAACAACTCTGTTACTGAAGTCGTATTTTCTGCAATCAAGTTTGGCGCGGTTTACCATAAGTTTGTATCTATTGTGTGCCATATCTATTGTGTGTATCTATTGTGTATAGATAGATGGGGAGAGAGAGAGAGAGAGACAGAGAGAATTTCGTATTTCTATTTATCAGTTTTTAACATAATGAATCTATTGATTATTTCTTCATTTTTACTCACCAGTATGCTGCAATCAACCGTGAAGGCATAGTAATTGTTAATGGGATGGTTACTCAGCTGCCTATCTCAGTGGGTATGTAGCTCATTAGAAATATCTGACTGTGCAGAAGGAAGAGTTTTAAATCTTAAATGTAATCAGCATATCAAATTTGGTTTGGTATCAGACTGACAATTGAGTTTGCTGTTCTGAAAAAGGAATTCCTTTTGGAAAGAGAAGCTCACTATCCATGCTTTAATCTTAATCAGTCTCTGAACATATGCAGCTTTTAAAAGATTTTAGAAACCTCAGCTGTACAGGTTAGTGCAATCAACTGCCTCAATAAGCATTTTTTAAAAACTGTGCTTCATCGGATTCCCAATTTGTTTCCAATCACAGTTCAAATTCTTGATAATATTTTGCTAAGCCTTTGATGGAGTGTTATTTGTCAGGTCGATGCATATCTGCTGAAGAATTCACATTATTTTTCTGTTAGTGTCACTACAAATTCCTCAAAGATTGGTTAAGCAATGGTATAGGTCGGGGTGGGCAAATGTGGCACTTTTACAACCTGTCTCAGGAATTCTGGGAGTTGAAGTCCACAGTTTGTAAAAGATTTGCCCATCCCGGTATAGGTAATCTAACCTACATCTTTAACATCTTTAACAGTTTGAGTCCACCAGTAAACTAGTGAAAAATTTGGATTTTTTTAAACCACCCTACCAGAGAAATACAGTGGTAACTCCTGTGCAACCTATATCCATTTGAGTGATTTGGAAACTGGGGTGAAATCCTTCTACTTTAAGTAGGCCTTATGTTACACTGATGAACAGAGTCACTGTGAGCAGCCATATAAATGTTCTTATTAAGTAAATAAAATAGATAATAAATAAAACCAATTAAAATCATAAAGTGGGTAACTATAGAAAAAGTTAATATTTTTTTTTAAGTTATTGCTGACCAACTTTTACCTGACTTGTAGAATGTGAGTCAAAAGTAACAGCCACTATGCTACTATAGCTTTATTATAACAGCAGTTGCAACAGAGAACCAAACTTTAGAAAGGAAGTTCTCTCTGGAACAGAGAACAAACGTGGAAAGGAAGTTTTGCTTTAGGCTGGCTGCTGTGCCTGATAGATGTGAATTTTGATGCTTCAACTTAGTAAATTGTACTAAGGTTTTCAAAAATATGCCCTGTAAGTTCTGCCTACGAAAAGAAAAATGTTTGGTGATTACTTTCTTCCCATGGGGAAGTGAGATGAAGATTTTAAAAAACAGACTAATTAAACAGTAGGATACTTTATTATGTAGGGATGTGGTGGCTCAGTGGCTAAGACACTGAGCTTGTTGATCGAAAAGTCGGCAGTTCAGTGGTTTGAATCCTTAGTGCTGCGTAATGGGGTGAGCTCCCGTTACTTGTCCCAGCTTTTGCCGACCTAGCAGTTCGAAAGCACGTAAAAAATGCAAGTAGAAAAAATAGGGACCACCTTTGATGGGAAGGTCACAGCGTTCCGTGCGCCTTTGGCATTGAGTCATGCCAGCCACATGACCACAGAGACGTCTTCAGACAGCACTGGCTCTTCAGCTTTGAAACAGAGTTGAGCACCACCCCCTACAGTCAGGAACAACTAGCACATACCTTTATGCTTTATTAACTGTGGGTCCAAATAGAATATCTGGTCATTACCATCACCAAAACTGAAAAAAAGAATTAATAACCAGAAAAGGGTGCTGGCTTTGTTTCTAGCCAGTTTATAGATGGGAGACAAAGAGCTGAAGGCAACTATGTAAAACATCATGCTAGATGCTTAACTAATTCAGTGAAATACCCTGTCTGCACCATATCATTGGGATGACGGTTGAACACATGGTAGAAGTGTTTACCATGTGTTCTGGTATAAAAAATACCAGTTTTTTGGGGTTTTTTTTTTCTAATCAAGCCCTGTACCATATTCCCAATTCACTAATGTGGTGGTAGCAAATGACTACCCAAAATTTAGCTCCTCCTCTCCTGGACAACTGCAAATGCTGATTTATTCACAATGGCATTTATTCTTTCCCCATAGCTAATGTAACAATGTTCCAGCCTTCACATTCCTTCATCGTTCTGGACACAAATTTTGGCCTTCAGCTCGTGGTCCAGGTTAAACCTTTGCTACAGTTATACATTTATCTGGATCCATCTTTCCAAGGAAGAATGTGTGGTAAGGAATATTTCAAAATTCTATGCCTTCTCTAGGTTCAAAGAGTCCATTTTGTTATTTTGCCATCATTCAAATTATAAAATTTCTTTTAAAGGCCTCTGTGGCAACTTTAACCATAACCAGAGAGATGACTTCAAAACCCTGAATGGATTGATAGAAGGAACAGCGATCGCATTTGCTAATACCTGGAAAACTCAAGCTGCCTGTGACAACATTAAACAGCATTTTAATGATCCTTGCACCGTGAGCACTGAAAATGGTGGGCAGAATTACTCCAAAATAGCCATTCTTTAAAACAATTATTCTCATTTTTTCCTACATAGTTGTTAAGGGAAAACTCAATAAAAATCTTACAAATGAGGTGAGTGTGGGGAGTAAAAGCAATGCATTGATAATGAGAGTGAAAAAATCAGAAAATGTGCAAATTAAGATCTTATCAGCAGAATTTGAGAAAGAATTAGGTGTATGAAATAAATGGACTCAAGTTTGTTTCATTCTTTTTCAGATGTAGGTATAGTTGTCTGTATTAGCATATTAATAATGTGAACATTGAAGCTAGACATGTAATCTGTGATGAAATTTGCCATGTATCTTTATAGAAATGGTCCAAAAGATATGGATGTTTACTTCTTTTTTTAGAAAAATATGCCCGTCATTGGTGTGGACTCCTGACTGATACTGAAGGGCCTTTTGCTAAATGCCACCCCATAGTGAATCCGAAGGCTTATCACACGGTACTATGATCATCCATTTTAATTAAGAACATTGCCTGGAAAGACATTAACAATGGTGGGAAGTAAGGATCATCCTTTAGGGGAGGGGTGAGCAAATGTTATTTGTGGCCAGAATCTGGTCAATTTCAGTAGGCTGTTATTGCAGAAAGTTCTGTAAACCCCCCCCCCCCCCGGTGGATCTTCCTGAAGAAAAACAAACTGAATTTCCCCCACAGAGCTGGACTTTCAATGTCATGCATTATATTGCCAAAATGATGTGAAAGCACATTAAATCACTCTACTAACAAAACCTGGCACACCCAGCTCAATGTACTACTTGCGTGGAATGCACTTCAGGAGTTTGACAGACTAAAAGGATTGCTGCTGAAATCTGATTGGATGTAAAATTCCAATTTAGTGGTAGGATAGCAGTAGCAATAGTCTGGGTCCTCATTTTACTAACCTTGGAAGGATGGAAGGCTGAGTCAACCTCCTAGCAAGAAATGACATGGAAAGTATTATTATTATTTTTTTAATTTGATTTATATGCCGCCCTTCTCCGGAGACTCAGGGCGGCTTACAATGCGCTAAGCAATAGCCTTCATCCTTTTGTATATTTATACAAAGTCAGTTTATTGCCCCCACAACTGGGTCCTCAATTTACCTACCTTAGAAAGGATGGAAGGCTGAGTCAACCTGGAGCCTGGTGAGATTCGAACCTGCAGTAATTGCAGGCAGCTGGTCTTAATAACAGGGTGCTTTAGACCACTGTACTACCAAGGCTCTATTTGATTAAGAATATGCTTCCCTTTTCTAGAACTGTATGTTTGATACCTGCGCTTGTAAGATAAGTGAGAAGTGCATGTGTGCTGCCCTCTCGTCCTATGTCAGAGCATGCAGAGCCAAAGGAATTGAACTTGCAGGATGGAGAACCAACGCTTGTTGTGAGTACTCTGATAAAACCATTCAGCAAGGAATTCTAGACTGATAAATTTTTCTAGTGATGCCGCCAAGGAATGGACTTTTGAATATAATTTTAATGCTAATCTCCAGCTCCCTTGCTGGCATTTCTATGAAATGATGAATTTCTGATGGACATTTATACCTTCCTTACATCCACCCCAGATAGTCTGGGATGTGCTCCATACAAAGATGATTTTTAAAAGCATTACTATTAATTTGCAGCAGCCAAACTAGAGGGCTGCATGCTTGGGAAACACATAAGATGATTCACTGGTTGTCTATTTGTTGCTGAGCTTTAAAGTCCTCTCCCTCTGAATTAATTTATCTGGAATCTGGATATATGAAGAATTATGTACAGTATGTATTTGGAATAGCAGACAAAACTGTGCTTGATAGACTTTTTTAAAGAGGGGATTTTTTTTGTATAGTGATCCTAAACTATGAAACATCTAATAATTGGTGCTCTAAGATCTATTCACCATTGAATATGCAATGGACTCTTTCATGACACATGCGATACACATAACACCTCCATTTGGAACATATATAAGTGTAGTTTTCATAAGGGAGATCTATATACCTGTTTCCACCTTAATGGGTAATACGTTGATTAAGGACAAAAGTAAAAACCTTCTCGATGGGGCACATTGTGAAAAAAAATTATAGGGATAGCCAAGAGCAGGGGGAAATTGTGTTGTAATAGAAGTGGGTAATTCAGACTTTATCAGTTTCGGTGTTTTGGTTCTCAGCCAGATCCTCTCCTTAAATTCAGCCAAGGTATTTTCAAAGCTGAAATTGCATGTTGCTAGAAGAGGACGACCATACTATGCCAAATCAACATTAATTTTCTACTTAGGGAAGAGTTTGGCATTGTATGGTAAGTGGATTCCAGTAACAAACTCAGAATATACAGAATAGTGTCAGTCTCTTGAATGCTTTCATTTGGTCCCAATATTTTTCAACCCTCCCAAAAAGGTAAGGTTACTGCTTTCTTTTTAGATTACTAATTTCTAGATATTTCCAAAAAGGCTGCAATATTCTTAGGACTGGGGGTTCTTGGTGCTTTCTGACTTGGTTGTTTTCATGTAGACATTTTATTACCCAACTAGGTAACTAGTGCTAGAAGGAAATGGAGTTTGCAAATAGATATGGCTTAAAGACGTTTTTGGTGCATTTCATACAGTATAAATTGTTTCAGGCTTTTCTCATAACTGATCATTATTATCCATTTAAGTCTGCAGTATGTGATATATTTTCTTATGACTAGTGTTGAACTGTAAATAAATAAACTCTGAACACTAAATGTTGTTTTAAATGCATCTTAGTTCCTTTCTTCTGCTTTCAGCACAGATGTGGCTCTGTGCATGTTGTTATTCACTTACTCTGTGTTGTATTCTTACTGTGTCTTTTAGCTTTACCAGAGACTTGAGATCAACAGGTAATCAATATACAATATAAATAACTATTATTTCTTTTTCTTCCTTCAAGCCAAATATGCCACCTGTCCCAAATCCCTGAATTATAGCTATGAAATTAGCTCTTGTCAACCTACTTGCCGATCACTGAGTGAACCTGATATTACCTGCAACATCAAATTTGTCCCAGTTGATGGCTGTACATGTGCACCTGGAACTTACATGGATGATTCTGAAATATGTGTACCTGCTAACCAATGTCCCTGCTATTACAAAGGAACAGCCATGCTCCCTGGTGAAGTTTACCATGAGTTTGGCGTTGCATGGTAAGAGGATTTAAGTTACAAACTAAGCTTGGTTATTAAGAATAGATTGAATAGTGTCAGTCTAGAATGTTTTCATTTGGTCCCGAGTGTTTTTGCTATAAGGATATAATGGCACTGCTTAAAATCATAATGTGCAGAGTTTGGAAAAAGATTTATTACATTTACAAGTTTATCTGCAAATGTTAAATACTTAATCTTATATCCAGATTATGTTAGCTACTCTGCCTTTGAAGAGTTTTTTAGGGTATTGATATTTTAGGGTAATTGATATTTTAGGGTATTTTAGCCATTGATATTTTAGGGTAATTGATAATTTGCAGCTTCTCAACTAAAAAAAAAAAAGATTTAGGAATTCTCAGATAATATGGACACAATAATCATTCCCATTTCTTTTACTCAGCACTTGTAACCAAGGAAAACTAAACTGCTATGGTGATGGAGAATCCAAACAAAGTAAGGAATACAGAGACATTACCCACATGTTCATTTCTTGGTCCATCTTTCCATTTAAATTGAACCAGCCTAGTTAAAATAGCAGTATGTAACAAAAATAATTCAGAAACAAATCAGCATTTTAATATTGTCTATGGTCTTGAGCATGATAACTGGAAGTAAGTTCAATTTCACAAAATGGATCTTACGCCAAGGTAAATACACACAGATTAAACTACAAATTTATATTTTAGTGAGAACCATTTATCTTGTAGATGTATTGACAAAGAAGGTAATTATTGCTTGGACCTAAATTGTGTTTAATGCTTAAATTATATTAGAGATTTCAACATATTTAAAAATGATATAAACAGTAAGCAAATAGAAGTAGTTTTCTTTTTTTCATTAAAAAAGTTGGGTATGGAAAAATGTTTGAGAGAAGTGAAGATGTATAATTCAGAGGTTGATAGTGTCCTTTTTAGAAATACTTCTTGGCTGTAAATTGCATAAAAAACTAAATGCTGGTTTTCTTGCAAATATTTGGAAACATTACAGGCAGAATATATTCATTTTGGGATATATTTTGATAATGACATGAATTGGACTCAGATTTTTCTTCCTTCCTTCCTTCCTTCCTTCCTTCCTTCCTTCCTTCCTTCCTTCCTTCCTTCTTTCCTTCCTTCCTCAATAACTCAATTAGAGACTCAATAACAACTGAAGGTTAAGACAAATGAATAAAGTTAGTTCCAAAGACCTTACACATCTTTTGCCCAGCTCTTTTGACCCATGATATCAATATCTATCTCTTCATGTGATATATCAACTTTTTCTCTCTTCTGGATAGAATGTACCGCTCCAATGGTTTACTTTGACTGCAGAAATGCCACCACTGACAGCAAAGGGGCCGGATGTCAGAAAAGCTGTCAGAATTTTGATAGACATTGTGTAAGTATTTTTTTTATTTCTTTTTTTTTATGTATCTTTTTCTGTTTTTTTATTTTTCTTTTTTAAAAAAAAAGTTTTTATTTTATAAACAAACAAACAAACAATACATAATCAATCATTCAATATATCTTCTGAGTACATCTTTTGTATCTTCTTTTTACTCCTCCAATATTTATCATATCTTAATATTATCATTTCCTTTATTATGACATTTCCCCCACATTCCTTACTTCTCTATTAATACATTTATCTATCTTTTAGTTTTATTAAAAATTAAACAACAATTTTATCCCCAACAACCTTCAACCCGCCTCCCCTCTCCCACCCCCGACTTCCCAGAGCAAAAACAGGGTGTAACATTAAACAAGCATAAGCTAAAATATACTAACTTACTACAAGATTCAAAACTCCCTCACACTCTTTAACTCCTCTTTTAAAAATTATTCATCAGCCTCCCCTTTTAAAATTCTAAATTAAACATTTTAAAACTTTCTTTAAAGCATATCTTTTTAAAAGAAAAGAAAGAAAAAAATATATTATTTTAAGTTAAACCTTTTAAAATCTCTTAATACCTTTAATAAAACATTCTTCAAGATATAAGTTTCAAAACTTTTTTTTAAAGGCTATCCATATAATCTTAAAAATACTAGTAATCCATTGAATTAAATTATTTCTAACTCTTGAGTTCATTCTTCAAAATATCAATTTCAAAACTTTCAGAAAGTTATCAATTAAGTTTAAAGTTAAGCATTTTAATACCTCGATAATTTTTTTAAAAAAAGCTATCCATTTTTAGTTAAACATTTTTACTTAAACTTAAAAAATACTAATTTCAGTAAACTTTTCAGATTTATTATTAAAATCCTCCCCAAAAGAAACTAATCTTCAATTCTTCCTTTCTTTCTATATTTTTTCCAGTCCTTCTTCTTCAATAGTACTTTCTTCTTCAACATTGCTCCTCCCCCTGCTTTTATTTTCGAAAAATGTTGGATATAGATTTGAGGCTGATGTATCTTTGGAAATCATTCTCTTCTAAAAGTTATCTCCTTCAATTTGAAACCTCCATTTCGACTCTTCCTGCTTATATAATCAATCACTTCCTTCCTTGAAAATTGATTCTGTCTATGAAGCCAAAAATTGTCAGAATAAAGTTTATCAGTCTGCAGGAAAGAGTCTATTTGCTGCTTTTCAGTTAACTGCATAGAAGCTTCTGCCAAAACCTCTGTTTTCAGTGTGCTGACTTCCATCGTGATCCTGACAGCCTCTTTTTCCTGCTCCAAAGTCGAAATAGCTTGATTTTCTTCCTCTTTTCCAGCCAGCAAATCATTGTTGTTCTCCAAATTATAATTTTGAATAGTCCTTTCAACTGATTCCAATATAACAGAAGTATAAAAATTTAAGAGTTCTTGTAAAACCTTTACAGTCACAACTTGTGAATTTGCTGGCTCATATAATAATGATCCTCCATCCTTGATGTCAGCCATATTTCAATTTCCACTTTAAATTTATTCAGCTGTCAGGTCAATAAGTCCAATAATTTTCCATACAATTTAGAAGTATAAAGTAGTTGGAGTCAGTACCATAGTCTTTTTCATTCCACTAGCACTTTAAATCTTTTTCTTGCCGCGTAATCCAATAGCTTTTACAATGTTGCAGCTTTAACGATCACTTTCACTAGTAAGTTTCGTTTTAACGCCCTTAAGCGCCATCTTTTTTCTTTTTCTTTTAAACGGAGTTAAAGTTTAGTACTTGCATTTTCTGTTCTCCTGATTTTGCTCTGCCAGCGTCCAGGTTCAAATTTTCTCATAATCCTTAAAATTGCTCTGCTGGTGTGGTCGCGACCCCTTGTTCTGCATAAAGCAGAATCATCCCGGATCCGGAGCACTGAAGGGCTTTCAGGGAGCTCTCACTCTGCAAATCCCAGGCTTAAAAAAAAGCCTGGGGGTCTAGGGGAGCTCTACCCAGACCCTTTTGCTCTTCTCTCCCCCTTTTTCCCTGGGGGAGAGTTTCGAGCCGCTAGAACAGCTGATTTTCACTGTTCTAGCGGCAAACGGAATCACAGGGCTGGAGCTCCTAAAGGAGTGTCCATTCAGGGAATGCGGAGCCACCGGAAGTCTCACATTGTGTAAGTATTGAGGCCCTATCAGAAACAGTTCCCTATACCATGAAGGCATGAATTAATCTTAGACAAGTCACTCTTCCCCAGTCTCACCTTGCCCAATTCCTTCTAGATCCTATTGTTCCATCTTCTTCAGTGTCTTTCATTTATTCAGAAACATACTATTACTATCTCAAATACACTTATACAGATAGAAGAACTTCTGGGTATGGACCGGAGTTATTAATTCAGGTGGTCATTCCCTATTGGCAATCCTAGCTGAATTAACACCACCATTGTGTTTAAATTGAGCCAGCCTTATTTAACCTGGACTGAAAAAGCAAATTATTTGACTGCTTATTTGCTCTTTCCTGAGTCATATTTTCTTCTTGATGTTTACAGTACAATTCAAAGTGTGTCTCTGGTTGCGTATGTCCAGACGGGCTAGTGTCAGATGAGAAAGGTCATTGTATTCCTGTGGAAGAGTGCCCATGTATTCACAATGAGGCCACATATCAGCCTGGGGAAAAGATCAAAGTTGACTGTAACACTTGGTAAGTATTTGCTAGTAAACAAAATACTTTTTGTTAGATATATATTCCTAAAGTTAAATGGCCATATTGTCCTTGGGGGAAAAAACTCCAACATACCAGATTGAAAGCAAACTGGCAAGGGTCGTGGTGTATATTTCACCTAAGTACCTAAAACTATAATATAAATATATCACGAGCCAATTTATGTTTGTATTTATTAGTTCTAAATGTATTTTCTATTTTGCAAATAATGTTCTTTCTTGAATCCATGTATTTGTTATTGATTACAGTTTTTTGTTGTTTGTAATTTGGCTGCAAGGGCCAGGAAATATTGAGCTATGATTAATCATAGCTGGAGTTGCCAAAATAATTATGATGTTAAATTTAGGGGATACCTAGATTCAAATCCACCTTCAGCCATGGAAGCGCACAGGGCCATTTTGCTGCAGGCATTCCATTTCAATCTAGCTTGTTTCACAAAGTTATTGTGTTCAGTATACTGCTTTGAAAAGACAGAGAAGGAAGGAAGGAAGGAAGGAAGGAAGGAAGGAAGGAAGGAAGGAAGGAAGGAAGGAAGGCAGGCAGGAAGGAAGGAAGGAAGGAAGGAAGGAAGGAAGGAAGGAAGGAAGGTTCAATAATTCCCATTTGCACCATCTCATATTGAAAAGCACATGTAAATATGATTTTGGATGTGAAAATGTTTTTTAATGGATGTATATCTTATACATCCTTTAAATCTTATATGTTCTTTATAAACACATGTGCAAAGCAGTTTTCCTCTGAAAAACACCATTCTTGGTATGAACTTCTTGGGAGGTCTCCAGAATTCCCAACTATTGAGGCAAGAGTCAAAATAGATTTCAGGAGGATAACAGGTCAGAGAAGAATGCAATGTAACTTCATATTCAGTTACTCACCAACTTTTATTATGGAACACTGACCTTCGTAACAGAATGGGACAATTTGTATGGCCAACTCGCCACAACCAACTTGCCATGGCTAACTCGCCATGGGACAACTTGCTGCAGGAAAATTCAACAAATACAAAAGTTGAATTCATTTCCATAGAACCATGGCCAATAATAATAAAATGAAGTCAATCCAGAAATATAAAAGTTACAATCATTTCAATGAAAAAGTGGTCACCAGTAATAAAAGTGACTGAATGAAATTAGTAATATGGGCTTGAATGGTGAGTTGTCCCTCGGCAAATTGGCTGTAGCAAATTTTCCTAGACTCTCTTCATAAATAGCAAGGAAAATCTATTGATTCAAATCAAATCTGTCCATTCTTTTTCTATAGTACAGAATAGCAACTTTCAAATATAATTCAATTTTCTTTAAAAAGTACTTTACATTAAAATACAGTTCCTTTGCTTTTTTACTTTTATAGTTTCTTAATTTCTTAGATGAAATTGTGGCATTTACAATACTGTTTCAATTTCTTTTCTTTCCTATCCCATATCCTTGCCTCTTCACACTTAGTCTATGATTACATTCATGAGATAATTATTTAGCTGAACTCTACACAACTAAAATATATTGTAATGCATGAGCACTGTACACAAAATTGCTTTTATGGGTGCAAATAGGAGAATTATTTTTGAAATGCATTTTCCTTCTTCTTATTTTAGTATATGTAAGAACAGGATGTGGAAATGTACCATGGAGACGTGCCTATCAACCTGTGCTGTTTATGGAGATGGACATTATATCACCTTTGATGACAAGCGTTATATTTTCAATGGGCAATGTGAATATACACTCTTGCAGGTATCAAGCATTGCTTTCTTGTTTTCACCAGAGAAACCGTCTGGATCTAACACAGAAGGCGTTTTGGTTTTTTTTTTTTTGGTCTAATTCTATTCCCTTCCTTTTTTAGGATTATTGTGGCCAGAACAGTTCCACCCAGGGGTCATTCCGAATCATCAGTGAAAATATTCCTTGTGGCACCACTGGCACCACTTGTTCTAAATCTATTAAAGTGTTCTTCAAAGTGAGTAACATTGTTGTAGTGTTGATGATCTACCATTAACTCCCTGGTATTTCCCCCCTCCAAAAAAATCTTCCAAAATAACTTTTTTTAATTAAAAAGAGCGGTATAGTAAGCTCCTTCATACAACTACTTTCACTGAGCACATGGAGTATTACATTTGGGATACTGATATAGTCATTCCCTCTGTTTCATGCCAAATTGTATTGGAAATATAAGCAAACAAAGGGAGAATGGTAAACTGCTTTAATTCTTGTGCAAAATTAAAAACAATATGTCATATATCCTATTGAACATGTACAATACCTAGACTTCCCTAGAAATGCCCTTTGTATTCCAACAGTTTTAAAGACACTGAAGATGTCTTTAAATTGCACTAACTAGGAAACTAGTTAGTGCAAATAGGAATTCATTTAAGGCACTAGAATAATAGATAGAAAGAATTGCCTTGAGGAACAGGAGAAAGAGCTGCTACAAGACAATGCTCAGATAACCTGTGTCTTGGATAGGACTATAACTTGAGAAAGTGACTCATACAAGACCTTCCTTGTTTTCATGGACATGAAAGGAGGAAAAAAGCAGATTCAGACTTAACAAAATTTTGTTTCTGTAACCTTAATAATAAAAATAGTTTAGCCTGCATGAGTTTGATTTCCTAGTCTGGTTTAGCTCAAAGAGCTGAAGCTACTACCATTGCTGTACCTATCCCCACAGAAACAATTTCTATAAAGTCCAATGCTGTGCTTCCCTATTCTATATAGTGTTTTTATTAACTAGATGATGCATATGATATTTATTTAAGGAAATATTCAGCTTTTGTCTATCCTATTGGCTAATAAAATTACTGTTGTACATATTTTTTGATAAATAACTCAAAAGGTGGCTTTGGAAAATTGTCATGGTTCCCTATTATTTGTTCAACTCTTCCAGAACTATGAACTGATACTTACCGAAGAGCAGTATAAAGTGGTAAAAAGAGAGAGTGGAGGTCTGATACCATATAGAATTCATCAAATGGGCATCTACTTGATGATTGAGATTCAGAAAGGACTAATTGTCTTATGGGACAAGAGAACAACTGTATTTATCAAACTCGGTGCAGAATTCAAGGTGAGATATAATTTAAAAGACATATTGTCTATTTATTTAATGCAGAATTGATTAAAGAGTTTGGTAAGGCTGCCTGATTGGCACATGATTTTGAGGGTCTAACAATCAACAAAATGATATAATTAAAACCATTGCAACAACAGCAAAGATATACTCACTAAACAAAACCCAACAGCAACAAACCAGGCTCACCCCTTGCCTAAATGTTGCTAGGGTCCCTTGGAGTCACTCTGGCAAATAATTTTGTACAAATAAAATATCAAATCTTGAGGCAAGGGGTATGTTCCACAGGGCAGGTCCTACAACAGAGAGTACATGTTTCCTGGGTCCCATTAGATGGCATTCTTAATAGAGAGGACTTGGAGCACATCTTGTGGGAGAAAGCAGAGGTAACTGGAAACAAGAGAAGGAGGAGATCTGGATTAGCTAATTGGAGACATTGGTTAGAGTCACCAATGTTATTTCATGGGTGTCAAACTCAAGACCTGGGGGCCTGATCTGGCTAGCAGGGTGCTTAGATCTGGCCCATGGGGCCGTCCTGGAAACAGCGAAGGACTGGCCTGCAAAAACGGAACTCGGGAGGACTGCGTGCAGCCCTCCTGAGCTCCATTTTCCCTGGCAGAGGGTTTTAAGAGGCTGTTGCAGCTGAAAACAGAGCTTGCTAGAGCTGCAGGAGGCCCTCTCAGGCTCCATTTTCACTGGCAGAGGGTTGCAGAGGCTGTCACAGCCAGAAACAGAGCTCGGGAACCCGTTTTCACTGGCAGAGCACTCGGGCCACCAAAGGCGCCCCCGACACAAGTGACATAGAGCTGGCCATGCCCACCTGAGCCCCCTGAGATCAAACACAACCCTGATGCAGCCCACAATGAAATCAAATTTGACACCCCTGACCTATAGTGTATTTTCTACAATTTAAAAAAAAAATGTGCATTCATTCCTTAGTTCCCTAGCTCTCTGTTTAAAGTTCTCATCAAAATGGTTTAAAATTAAATGCACAAACAATTAAAGGTTTAAGAATGGATCCATAGACAATTGGAATAGTAAAAATTGTCTTTTCTACCTTGCCTCCTCTACAATAGCTCTTTCAAGATACCACATAGTAAGTTGAGATCCAGCTGAATCAGAAAGAAAATGCAGAGTAGATTGGCTGAGTCCTCATTTAAAAACATTTTAAAAACATGCCTCTCATGGATGGATCTCCTTAGGTTGACAACAACTGACATAGATGGAACTGTTTTATAAAAAAAACATTCATCTAGATTTTATCTAGACTTGTAGTCAATAAAATTCCAGTCATGCTGGAGAGAAAGGAAGGAATTCTCAAAAATTGTTTTAAAAGTTAAGGAATCTTCAAAGGATCATAGAAAGAAGTGGGAAATCAGTGAAGATTCTTCCCCTATAGCTTGCTTCAAGATCTACTAAGGATCAAACAGAAGGAACCATTCTATTAGAGTTGGTGGGGGGGTGGGTATTTATTTATTAGATTTATTTGCCACCCATCTCACTTTTAGGCAACTCTGAGTGGCTTACAAATATTAAAAGCCAATAAAACAATGAACAGTAAATATTCTTAATAACAGTATAAATTACAGTTTAGAAGATGAGGAGGAGTGGTCTTCTCTTAGCCACCCTCAGCGTGATATATCCCCATTAGGGCCCGAAGCCAACTGGCAGAATAAATCTGCAGTAGTCTTTTTGATCCTAAATTAACACTTCTCATAAATGAAACGAAACAAAACTTTTTACTTCCTTCCTTCCTTCCTTCCTTCCTTCCTTCCTTCCTTCCTTCCTTCCTTCCTTCCTTCCTTCCTTTCCTCCCTCCCTCCCTCCGTCCCTCCCTTTGTTGATTTCTTTGGTAGTTCAGTTATAAGTAATAATTTTTAGCAACATAATTAAGTTTAGATTATGAACAGGATACAAAATCGGTAGTAAATATCTCAAAATGTAAACATAAAGCCACACACAAGTTTTATTCTTTTATTGAAAGAGTTAAAATAATATAGTAGGAATAATAAAGGAACCTTTCCTATGATAAATGAACTTTAGAGTTGGTGGTATGTTAATTAATTAAACTGAAAAATCAAGCATTAAGTGTGTTGCACATTCTCTAGAATTCAATTAATTTGTATGCTTCTCTCTTCAGGGTGAGGTCTGTGGACTGTGTGGGAACTATGATGGAAATGGAGTTAATGACTTTACAACTCGGAGTCGATCTGTAGTAGGTGACGTACTGGAGTTTGGAAACAGTTGGAAGGTATCACCCACATGTCCCGATGCCAAATGTGTCAAGGATCCTTGCTCCAAGAATCCTTATAGGAAAGCTTGGTCACAGAAGAAGTGCAGCATCATCAACAGTGAAGTCTTTGCTGCCTGCCACTCTCAGGTATACCAAACTCTCAGAGCAGATTTTTCAAAGGAGATCATTCTTTCAGGTGACAATTACCTGCCTGTCTGTCTGCATACCTATCTGTCTACCTACCGGTTGTCCTGAATTATCTTTCATTTAATGATGGTTTGAAGTTACGATGTCCTCAGAAAAAGTTCCTTATGACATGTCCTGAAAGTTACAACCTGTCACACCATCCCAGAGGTCAAATTATCACAATTTGGGCACTTGGTAACTAGCTCGTATGTATGATAGTTGCAACATTTTGTGGTCATCTTCCCAACCAGCTTCCCACAAAGCAGTCAGTTGGGGGAGCCAGATGAACATAATGACCATAAAATTCATTTAACAGCCACAACATTTATTTAAAAAACTGGTTAAAATGTTCATAAAATTGGGTCAGATCACGTGATGACTCGCTTAATGACCACGTCCCTTAGCAAATGGATTTTAGTCACCTTTAGTCAATGTTTTGCACAAATGTTTGAAAGAATTGTCACTAGAAGATCAAAAGATATAGTGTCTGTTCCATTTCTTCATAGGTGGAACCAACTAAATACTATGAATCCTGTGTGACTGATGCCTGTGCTTGTGACACTGGGGGAGACTGTGAATGTTTCTGTACAGCTGTAGCTGCATATGCTAAAGTATGTAGTGATCATGGAGTATGCGTATCATGGAGAACGCCTTCGATTTGCCGTGAGTATCATGTATGATTGCATGGACAGTGACAATCCATAGCTGGAAAGTGAAATATCAACTTGGAGATTATATCATCCCCTGAGTATATGACAATGTTCTCATACCATGCTTTATTATAAAATGCAATGAAGGAAACATCTAGATATTTGTGCAAATATTAATATTTATTAAATCAATAACTGGCCAACCTGTGATACAAAACAGAAGTCTGACTCTTCGTGCTAGATTGAGGGGTGGGGAACAATGGCCCTTTTATGACTTGTAGACTTCAACTCCCAGAATTCCTGAGCCAGCCATGTTGGCTCAGGAATTCTGGGCGTCGAAGTCCATAAGTCATAAAGGGGTCATCATTTCCCACGTCTATGCTAGATAGACATTACTTCAAGTGTTTGAATCAAGTTAGAGCATTATTTCATCTCATGCCTGAGTGGTTATCTTCCAATCATTAAAATGCAGGCATTAAAAAAGTGATTATTTTCATAGTGGCATAAGCTGTAGCATTTCTCAAGAATTGAGATGTTTGATTCTTCATGGTTTTCTCTTGGTTTCCTTAGCCATGTTTTGTGACTATTACAATAATGAAGGTGAATGTGAATGGCACTACAAACCTTGTGGAGCCCCATGCATGAAGACCTGTAGGAATCCAAGTGGGAGGTGCGCTTATCATTTACCTGGCTTGGAAGGTGAGAAGATGTTTTTTATCATATGTATACCAGCTAATGTTATAACGTGCTATTTAATAGTTGGCTAATATCTTATATGACCATAATGATTATTTATAAGATAGTAGGTCAAAGTTATCACTCTATAAAGAATGTCACCTTGTTTAATGTCTATTACTGTATGTTTCTGTCTTTGGCTTCAAATAATTTGTGGTTAATCTTTCTGAGACCCTCCCAAGGCATGGGGCTAGAAGTCTACCATCAGATTTAATGATTCACCTACTTTAATAGTTGTGAATTTGAACTGGATGGGTGTACAGAGCTGAATAGAGTGTTCTTTCCGCATCTTTTATTTCAGTATCAATCTTTTCTATCTCAAGTTGCAGATTGAGGGGATTGATAAAAAGGCAAGACACCAGTATTTCATCCATCTGTTTAATTCTCAGTAATGATCAGAAATATTGGGACTGTGAAGAGGAGAATTTCAGAAGGGGTAATTGTCAAAAAAGAAAAAGGGGGCCTCCATATATAATTTGGAAGAATTTGATCATTAAACTGATCAAAGCTATAAAATACATATACCAGAGAAATCAATGGGGGTGGGGACGGACGACAAATTCTAAATTAGAACTATTGTGGAGGGTTAAACCAATAGGGCTATGAAGGTGCACACATGCACACACATACTTCAAAGCAGTGGTGAAATCCAAATTTTTTTTACTATCGGTTCTGTGGGCGTGGCTTGGGGGGGGGCGTGGCAGGGGAAGGATACTGCAAAATCCCCATTCCCTCCCCACTCCTGGGGGAAGGATATTGCAAAATCTCCATTCCCTCCCCACTCTGGGGCCAGCCAGAGGTGGTATTTGCTGGTTCTCCGAACTACTCAAAATTTCCGCTACCGGTTCTCCAGAACCTGCTGGATTTCACCCCTGCTTCAAAGTAAAAGCAATGCAGTTATATTGCATGCATGGCATACACTAATTTACATTTGATTTCTAATTTTCAAATGACCTCATGCATGCCAGACAGGGATGGCTAAAGGGCCAGGTATGGACTATAAAATGGCCAGGACTATATTAAGAGATATCATTCAGTTTATCTTTTATAATGGACAGTCTAGCAATTTTAAAGTAATATAGAACGTATTAAAAGACTAGTTTGTGGAATCTTGGTCTTGGAATTGATCGAAAGCAGCTTAAATGCTGATTGTGAATCATCACTTTGTTTGAATTCAATATCATCCAGGTTATTGGTTTTTCTTTGCCCTTTATCCTTTCCCTCCACTTAGGCTGCTATCCACAATGCCCAGGAGATAAACCTTATTTCAGCGAGGAAGAGATGAAATGTGTTAGCGTTTGCGGCTGTTATGATGCTAAGGGTAACTATCATCAGTTAGGAGAAACATTTACTACTGGAGTGGTGTGTCAATCATGGTGAGTAATAATAAACACTTCAAGCCTTAGTACAGTAGGTATATTCATAGCACATGTTGCAGTGACTCCAAAATGACCCTGTTCATTTTCATACACTTACAATAATGTGTTAATTTATTGTATGATTGATTGATTATGTGCTATCAAGGCATTAGTGACTCTTAGTGACCACATTGATAGATTTTTTTTCAATTAATATATATATATCCCAATATATATATATATTATATGTTGTGTTTTTATATAAGCATTAGTAGAGATTCAGATATCCATTAATATCTATACCAGTGATGGCTAACCTTTTTGCCGTTGCGTGCCAAAAGCGGGGGGAGCATGGTGAGTCTTGGGTGCATGTGCCCACATCCATAATTCAATGCACTCCGCCCTCCCACGCATGCGCACGTGACCCCCCCACACTTCCCCCTGCTTTTGGCATGTGATGGCCCGGTGGGCCTGGTAGGCCCATTTTCCCCCCTCCCCAGGCTCCAGAGGCTTTCTAGGAGCCTGGGGTGGGCAAAAACAGCCTTTCCCATCCTCCTAGAGGCCTTCTGGAGGCCAGAAACAGCCAATTTCCTGACTTCCGGTGGGACCGGAAGGCGTGAAAATCAGTTGGCCGGTGAGTGCATGCGTGCTGGAGCTGAGCTAGGGCAACACTCGCATGCCCACCAATATGGCTCCGCGTGCCACCTGTGGCACCCGTGCCATAGGTTCGCCATCACGGATCTATACCATATGTATGCTTAATGTTTTCTAAAATAATTTACATAAATTTAGATACACAATAAACAAAAAATGTTATTATATAATATATATATTATAATGTATATATATATATATTATATTATATAATATATATATATATATATAATATTATATAGATTGTTTTTTTATATATAAGCATTAGTAGAGATTCATATATCCATTAATATCTATACTATATGTATGCTCAATAATATTTCCTAAAATAATTTACATAAATTTTAATTCTTGTAGTAATTGTCCTTTTCAGTAAGTTAATAGCTGTATAAAAGGTAATGTTTTCTCTGCCCAGTCATGTCTCATTCTAGGGCAGGGGTCTCCAACCTTGGCAACTTTAAGACTTGTGGACTTCAGCTCCCAGAATTCCTCAGCCAGCTTGATTTAAGATGAGTGAACTTCAACTCCCAGAATTCCCCAGCCAGCATGGTGTTGAAGTCCACCTTGCTTAAAGTTGCCAAGATTGAGAACCATTGCTCCAAGGCTTCCATTGGTATTGATATTTAATCAAAGCAATGCTGGCTGAGGAATTCTGGGAGTTGAAGTCCACAAATCTTAAAGTTGCCACGGTTGGAGACCCCTGCTCTAGGGCACAGTGCTTATCTCTGTTTCTTGGCCCAGGGAGCCAGCATTGTCCAAATATATTTTCTGTAGTCATGTGGCCAGTATAGCTATATGCCAAAGGCACATGGAAGGCTGTTACCTTCCCATTGATACCTATTACTCTATTCACATTTCCATACTTTCGAACTGCGAGGTGGGCAGGAACTGGAACAAGTAATAGGAGCTCACCCCTTTGCATAGTGCTCAGATCTCAAACCCGGGCACTTTTTAGAGAACCAAAATGTTGAAGTTATTATTATACCCTTTCTTTCAGTTGCTAGAGAGCCGTATTTCAGCGTAACACCTATGATATTCATCAGAGAAGTTAAATGTTGCTATTTGAGACATATGCAAGCAAAGCTATTTAGTAGGAAATAAATTGGAACATGTTTTTAATGAATCATATGTCATTGTTTTTTCTTGCAGTAAATGTAACAACGAAGGCATTATTAGCTGTGAACATGATACTAAAGGTAACTTGAAAAAATTTATTAATAGCACCATAAAATTGTTTGATACAACTTTATCTAGCCACTCATTCTTATTTTCTAAATGCAGCTTGCTACTGCTACTACGAAGGAAAGAGGTATAACTACAAGGAAGTCATTTACAATACAACAGATGGCTTGGGTTCATGTATAACTGCAATTTGTGGCGTCAATGGAACAATCAATAGAGAAGTCTACAAATGTGCTGGAATTACCACAAAACCACCATTTGAATTCACAACTTCAAGTAGAACAGGTATTTCACTCCATGCTTTGGATTTGACACCAACTTTTCTGACATTGATCCTTTTCCAATATACTTGCTCAATACATCTATTTATTTATTTTTATTTTATTTATTTTATTTGTCAAGCATGTATTAGATAACAGATATAAGTATAGACATGAAATGGATATGAATAAAAGGGGACATTAGGACAGGGACGGTAGGAATGTTGGTGTGCTTATACATGCCCCTTACAGACCTCTTAGGAATGGGGTGCGGTCAACAGTAGACAGTCTAAGGTTAAAGTAGACAGTCTAAAGTTAAAGTGGGGATATTAGATACTAGAGGATATTAGATATTGCCAAAGGCTATAAATGAACGAAAATGGGAATCAGCCCCATCAGATCTGCATGAATAACTGCAAAGAGAATACAACTGTTAACTATTTTAAAAATTCCAAAGGCCCCAAATAAACTACACCACAACTATCTTGAGATTTGGAGGAGTCTTCTTCCTCCAGTGATGGAATACTGAATTTTGCAGAAATTAATCGACATCTTTCTGTATAGTATGTTCCCACCTCTGGAAACAGAAAGTATCAGAGTGGATGTAAAAAAGAGCAGAAATTTTCAGAGTAGACCAAAGCCTGTTGAGAGGATACTCTCCCATGCAGATGGAGGGAGTGATGAACAGTGCTTATATCTTGAATCACACAATCACCCATCCATGAAGAGCAAGAAATCATGATACTGATCTCTTGTCTGCAGCAGGTAGCCTTCCTGCTGCAGATAATTTATTACGTACCTGCAAACAAACAACAATTGGTTAATGTCACAATGTAACATAGACATTATAGAAAGCCTGAGCCCATTCTCACTTCTCACCAGAGACATATTAAGTCTGATATTTTGAATGCATTGACTGAAAAACAATGTCAAATCTTAACAAAATCGATATATTAATTTATTTCAATTTATTTATAAGACAATACATTTTTTTAAAAAATAAAAGATGTAAAGCACCAGCTATTTTTTTTTTTAAAGGACAAAAGCTAATGACAGAGCAATTCAACAATTGTACAGTATATAGAGTTCCTACGGTCTGCTATCTGAATCAGGATGGGACAAAAATAAGTGTCAAGAGGAATTTGTATCCACTTACAATTTCATTATTATTATTAGTTTTATTATTGATTTTCAAAGTTTAAAGTGCAATAAATATTTTCCAAAGCAAAGGAAAATATGATTATGAGAACTTCAAGAGTTGCTTGGCTTTGTTACATGACTCTATATATAAAATTAAAAAGATATACAGGTAGTCCTCAACTTACGACCACAATTGAACCCAAAATGTATACTGCTAAGTGAGAAATTGGTTAAGTGAGTTTTGCCCCATTTTACAATCTTTCTTGCCACATTTGTTAAGTGAATCACTGCAGTTCATAAACTAGTAACATGGCTGTTAAGTGAATCTGGTTTCCCCATTGTGAAAAGTTCGCAAAAGAGGATCACATGACTCTGAGACACTGCAACCATCATAAATGTGAGGCACTTGTCAAGCATCCAAATGTAAATCACATGACCATGGGGATGCTGCAATGGTTATGACCATGTGAAAAATGGTCATAAGTCACTTCTTTCAGTGCCATTCAAAGGCTCACTAAATGAACTATTGTAAGTCGAGGAGTACTCGTACATAAACATCTTTCCTATTTTGTTTCCTTAAAGTTACAAGCATCACAAAGAGTACTGCCTTTTTTTTTTAAAGGCATCTACTTTTAGATAATAAATTATACAATGGGCAAAAGTAGTCTGCTCCTCAATAGCAGAGGTTTTCGATACATGTTATTGAAACAATTATGTTTTATCTTACAGAATCAATTCCAACAAAAACAACAATGTGTGTGCATAAAGTTTGTAAGTGGATGGGTTGGTATGATTTTAACTACCCATCATATGATTCAACCAATGGAGATTATGAAACTCCGGAAAACATAAGAGCCAAAGGACATAAACTTTGCAAAAATCCAGAAAAAGTGGAATGCAGAGCAAAAGAATTTCCCGATGAAACATTGCATTCTCTCAATCAAATTATAATATGCACACCAACTGATGGCTTGATTTGCAATAACAAGGATCAGACTCCACCAGTGTGCTACAATTATGAGGTCAGATTCTTCTGTTGCAATTTTGAACCATGTGGTCCTTTGACATCAACAACAGCTACTAAAACTACCAGAGGAACAACACCAATTCCATCCACTGAAAGAAAAACATCACCACCTTATATACCTCAATCTACAACTCCACATTTTATTGGGACCACTACCTCTACCTCCCAGCCTTCTACACTAAGTTCAGTGCAACCCGCATCCACGTCTTGCCATCCTAAATGCCAGTGGACGCAATGGTTTGATGACCACAATCCAAAGACTAGCCCTGATGGTGATTTTGAGCGCTTTGAAGACATACGAGCACGTGGATTGGTTTGTGAGCATCCCCAAGACATTGAATGCCAGGCAAAGGACTATGCACACACTAGGAATCCTGCCCCTGAGCAGAATTTCCAGTGCAACGTAAAGGTTGGACTAGTGTGCAACCATACAGAGCAGACAAAGAAACCATATAAATGTGTCAACTACCAGGTGAAATTCCTTTGTTGTGATTACAGCCATTGCCAAACAGTCACAACATCAGGAACTTCCAAACCTACATCAGCCAAAAATGTGTACATTTCCACAACATCCAGTTCATCCACCCTACACACACAATATCAACCACTAGTCCAAGCACACCCCTGGTGTCTACAAGTGCAGAAGTAACAACAGGAAAGCAAACAACCACTACTCTCCCTACTCCACCATCAACACGACAAGTCACCTCTGGAATTATCTCCACTGCATCGACCACTACTCCAAGCACACCCCTGGTGTCTACAAGTCCAGAAGTAACAACAGGAAAGCAAACAACCACTACTCTCCCTACTCCACCATCAACACGACAAGTCACTTCTGGAAGTATCTCCACTGCATCAACCACTAGTCCAAGCACACCCCTGGTGTCTACAAGTGCAGAAGTAACAACAGGAAAGCAAGCAACCACAACCCTTCCTACTCCACCATCAACAAGACCAGTAACCTCTGGAATTATCTCAACTACACTGACTACCACACAAAGCACCACCTTGGTGTCCACCACTGTAGAAATAACAAAAGGAAAGCAAACAACCACTACTCTCCCTACTCCACCATCAACACTCCCCTCCACCAGTGCAGGAGTAACAACAGGAAAACAAAAAACTACTACTCTCCCTACTCCACCATCAACACGACAAGTCACATCTGGAAGTATCTCCACTGCATCGACCACTACTCCAAGCACACCCCTGGTGTCTACTAGTGCAGAAGTAACAACAGGAAAGCAAACAACCACTACTCTCCCTACTCCACCATCAACACGACAAGTCACCTCTGGAATTATCTCCACTGCATCGACCACTAGTCCAAGTACACCCCTGGTGTCTACAAGTCCAGAAGTAACAACAGGAAAGCAAACAACCACTACTCTCCTACTCCACCATCAACACGACAAGTCACCTCTGGAATTATCTCCACTGCATCGACCACTAGTCCAAGTACACCCCTGGTGTCTACAAGTCCAGAAGTAACAACAGGAAAGCAAACAACCACTACTCTTCCTACTCCACCATCAACACGACAAGTCACCTCTGGAATTATTTCCACTGCATCGACCACTAGTCCAAGCACACCCCTGGTGTCTACAAGTCCAGAAGTAACAACAGGAAAGCAAACAACCACTACTCTTCCTACTCCACCATCAACACGACAAGTCACCTCTGGAATTATCTCCACTGCATCTACCACTAGTCCAAGTACACCCCTGGTGTCTACAAGTCCAGAAGTAACAACAGGAAAGCAAACAACCACTACTCTTCCTACTCCACCATCAACACGACAAGTCACCTCTGGAATTATTTCCACTGCATCGACCACTAGTCCAAGCACACCCCTGGTGTCTACAAGTGCAGAAGTAACAACAGGAAAGCAAACAACCACTACTCTTTCTATTCCACTGTCAGCAACTTTGTCCACAACATCAATCCATATTACAACTACTACTGCAGAGACAATTCCATCCACTGAAACAAAAACATCACCACCTTATGTACCTCAATCTACAACTCCACATTTTATTGGGACCACTACCTCTACCTCCCAGCCTTCTACACTAAGTTCAGTGCAACCCGCATCCACATCTTGCCATCCTAAATGCCAGTGGACGCAATGGTTTGATGACCACAATCCAAAGACTAGCCCTGATGGTGATTTTGAGCGCTTTGAAGACATACGAGCACGTGGATTGGTTTGTGAGCATCCCCAAGACATTGAATGCCAGGCAAAGGACTATGCACACACTAAGAATCCCGCCCCTGAGCAGAATTTCCAGTGCAACGTAAAGGTTGGACTAGTGTGCAACCATACAGAGCAGACAAAGAAACCATATAAATGTGTCAACTACCAGGTGAAATTCCTTTGTTGTGATTACAGCCATTGCCAAACAGTCACAACCTCAGGAACTTCCAAACCTACATCAGCCAAAAATGTGTACATTTCCACAACATCCAGTTCATCCACTCTACCACACACAATATCAACCACTAGTCCAAGTACACCCCTGGTGTCTACAAGTGCCGAAGTAACAACAGGAAAGCAAACAACCACAACTCTTCCTACTCCATCATCAACACGACAAGTGACCTCTGGAATTATCTCCACTGCATCGACCACTAGTCCAAGCACACCCCTGGTGTCTACAAGTGCCGAAGTAACAACAGGAAAGCAAACAACCACTACTCTCCCTACTCCACCCTCAACACGACAAGTCACTTCTGGAATTATCTCCACTGCATCAACCACTAGTCCAAGCACACCCCTGGTGTCTACAAGTGCAGAAATAACAACAGGAAAGCAAACAACCACTACTCTTTCTATTCCATTGTCAGCAACTTTGTCCACAACATCAATCCATATTACAACTACTACTGCAGAGACAATTCCATCCACTGAAACAAAAACATCACCACCTTATATACCTCAATCTACAACTCCACATTTTATTGAGACCACTACCTCTACCTCCCAGCCTTCTACACTAAGTTCAGTGCAACCCGCATCCACATCTTGCCATCCTAAATGCCAGTGGACACAATGGTTTGATGACCACAATCCAAAGACTAGCCCTGATGGTGATTTTGAGCGCTTTGAAGACATACGAGCACGTGGATTGGTTTGTGAGCATCCCCAAGACATTGAATGCCAGGCAAAGGACTATGCACACACTAAGAATCCCGCCCCTGAGCAGAATTTCCAGTGCAACGTAAAGGTTGGACTGGTTTGCAACCATACAGAGCAGACAAAGAAACCATATAAATGTGTCAACTACCAGGTGAAATTCCTTTGTTGTGATTACAGCCATTGCCAAACAGTCACAACATCAGGAACTTCCAAACCTACATCAGCCAAAAATGTGTACATTTCCACAACATCCAGTTCATCCACCCTACCACACACAATATCAACCACTAGTCCAAGCACACCCCTGGTGTCTACAAGTGCAGAAGTAACAACAGAAAAGCAAACAACCACAACTCTTCCTACTCCATCCTCAACACGACAAGTCACTTCTGGAATTATCTCCACTGCATCAACCACTAGTCCAAGCACACCCCTGGTGTCTACAAGTGCCGAAGTAACAACAGGAAAGCAAACAACCACTACTCTCCCTATTCCACCCTCAACACGACAAGTCACTTCTGGAATTATTTCCACTGCATCAACCACTAGTCCAAGCACACCCCTGGTGTCTACAAGTGCAGAAGTAACAACAGGAAAGCAAAAACCACTACTCTCCCTACTCCACCCTCAACACGACAAGTCACTTCTGGAATTATCTCCACTGCATCAACCACTAGTCCAAGCACACCCTGGTGTCTACAAGTGCAGAAGTAACAACAGGAAAGCAAACAACCACTACTCTCCCTACTCCACCCTCAACACGACAAGTCACTTCTGGAATTATCTCCACTGCATCAACCACTAGTCCAAGCACACCCCTGGTGTCTACAAATGCAGAAGTAACAACAGGAAAGCAAACAACCACTACTCTCCCTACTCCACCATCAACACGACAAGTCACATCTGGAATTATCTCCACTGCATCAACCACTAGTCCAAGCACACCCCTGGTGTCTACAAGTGCAGAAGTAACAACAGGAAAGCAAACAACCACTACTCTCCCTACTCCACCCTCAACACGACAAGTCACTTCTGGAATTATTTCCACTGCATCAACCACTAGTCCAAGCACACCCCTGGTGTCTACAAGTGCAGAAGTAACAACAGGAAAGCAAACAACCACTACTCTCCCTACTCCACCCTCAACACGACAAGTCACTTCTGGAATTATCTCCACTGCATCAACCACTAGTCCAAGCACACCCCTGGTGTCTACAAATGCAGAAGTAACAACAGGAAAGCAAACAACCACTACTCTCCCTACTCCCCCTCAACACGACAAGTCACTTCTGGAATTATCTCCACTGCATCAACCACTAGTCCAAGCACACCCTGGTGTCTACAAGTGCAGAAGTAACAACAGGAAAGCAAACAACCACTACTCTCCCTACTCCACCCTCAACACGACAAGTCACTTCTGGAATTATTCTCCACTGCATCAACCACTAGTCCAAGCACACCCCTGGTGTCTACAAGTGCAGAAGTAACAACAGGAAAGCAAACAACCACTACTCTCCCTACTCCACCTCAACACGACAAGTCACATCTGGAATTATCTCCACTGCATCAACCACTAGTCCAAGTACACCCCTGGTGTCTACAAGTCCGAAGTAACAACAGGAAAGCAAACAACCACTACTCTCCCTACTCCACCCTCAACACGACAAGTCACTTCTGGAATTATCTCCACTGCATCAACCACTAGTCCAAGCACACCCCTGGTGTCTACAAGTGCAGAAGTAACAACAGGAAAGCAAACAACCACAACCCTTCCTACTCCACCATCAACAAGACCAGTAACCTCTGGAATTATCTCAACTACACCGACTACCACACAAAGCACCACCTTGGTGTCCACAGCTGTAGAAATAACAACAGGAAAGCAAATACCTACTACTCTTTCTACTCCACTGTCAACACTCCTCTCCACCAGTGCAGGAGTAACAACAGGAAAGCAAACAACCACTACTCTCCCTACTCCACTCTCAACAGTTGTCTCTACAAGTGTAGGAGTATCAACCGGTAAGCAAACAACTACAAGTCTTTCTATTCCACTGTCAACATAGTCTGTCAAATATTTATTTGGTGACACCAGAAAGAGAGAGAAAAGAATAGTATATCATGTCATTTCCATTATTATCTTACATGTTCTCAGCAAGACATTTAAAAACCATTTTTGATGCATATTTATCAATTTAGCTGTGGTAGCAATTTATCTACCTTAATGGGAAATTGCATTTGCTCCTATGTTTTAAGGAAACAACTTCTTCATTGAAGTTCGTTTAATTCATACTACAATATGTGACTAGGGCTGGATTTTTCTGACAGTATTTTCAATAAATGTGGATTTGAGGTAGTCAGTGGTGAATGACTCTCCTAAGCACGTGGCTGTTGTCCTAACTGTGGTTGCAGAATTTTTGAGTTAACTGTGATTTTTGTAGGGATAGGGAGTTTTTTTTCTTGCCATAATTTATGAAGGGCAGTATTAAATTTTGGTAATACAATTCCAGTTGGTATCAATCTCTTATCATTTGGTTACTTCTATGTTATATTTTGTGTCTTTGTCAATATCAGGTTCCACACTAGCAACTACTTTAAGCAGATCAACTCCATGTTTCTGCCATGTATCTGGAACTCCTGATACTTTATTTTCTCCTGGTGAGTTTCATTCAAAAATTGCTCTTACTATACATGTATTTATAGCTCACCCTTCCACATAGGTACACTATAGTTTTCGACTGCTTTGTCTGGGGAAGGCTGTTTTGCTGAGAAGCTAAAGAAAATGCTATCATTTATTCAGACATTTAACATTTTGTTATTTTATAATGCGTCTGAAAGCATCAGTTCCTATTTTGAATGCTTAATTTAAGGATATTGGTCCTTAGAGACTCATTACCATATGCCAGTCATTCCTTTTATGGGAAGAGCAATGTATAGTTTGCCACTCTGCTCCCCAGCATTTGGATTATGAGTTCTGTGTCTTTCCGGGATCCTCAGGCTTGAGATAGACAAGGATATAAATTCTATTTTCAGACATTTTTCTTATTCTCCCACTTTATATAATATGGACAGTTTTTGTGAACATTTCTGTTAATATGTGCCTTTTGATGTGTATTTTTCTTAGAGACTGCATTGTTTTATATCCTGATGAGCAAACTTTTTTCTTAATAAACGTGTTGTGTTAATTTTCAATTATTAATAATTTTGCTTAATATTTTAAAAGTATAGATTCTGGCTTGCATATAGTCTCTTATTCTCCTTTAGATTCAGGAAATTTTGCAATTGGATGGAATAAATTATTTATCCATCTCTGTCTGGCACTATTTGGGGCTAGACAAAGAAAAGGAATGGTTATTGATTCTCATGCTAGTCTCTTCTCTCCCTCTCCCTCTCCCTCTCTCTCTCCCTCTCCCTTTCCCTCCCCCTCTCCTTCCCCCTCTCCCCCAGGAATTGACACTTGCTCATTATAAATCATGAAAGCTGTAATATCATCCACGGTTTTTGGGGAGTAACACCCGCTAAAAACAATGGGTCTCCGTTCAAGAACACATCCTGAATCACATTTAATGATAACTTCTTTTATGCTTATATAGTATACCAGATTTGCTTCTGCATAAACTTGATTAAAATGACATGTTGCAATCAAAAACATAATGTTTGAATTACACATGCATTTAACATTTAATTATGTGTTTGGGTTCATAGCATTTGTGCATGCTGCCTTTTAATTTATTGATTTTTTTAAACAGGGGAAGTAATATACAATAGAACTGATGGTTCTGGATGCCGTTTTACTGCAATCTGCGATGCAAATTGTGAAATTAAGAGGTATCCAGTATTCTGCCCTACAACAACTCCTCATCCAGTTACAACCTCAGGAACATTACCTGTTCTCAGTTCTACAACTTTTGCTCCATCAATTAAACCATACACTTCCCCAATCCCAAGAACTAAGGAAAGTATTTTCTCAACTCCTATACCAGATTGCCCTGATGTGGATCCACCTAGAAAGGTAATGTGATTTTTTTTTAATGCACTCCTGATACAATTTTCTATTAATTAGGATGAAATATGACATTTATAAGACTTGCATGGGGAATTTAAACTAATGGGGCACAACTCTCTAAACGTTTGCCTTCAGTAAAGCAAACGCTGGAGGTTTAAATCTGGGGTGATAGCATAAAGTCCCCAAACACCTCCTTGTAATTCCCAAAGCCCTCTCTGACTACATCTACTGTTTGCCCAGTGTTTGACCTGAAAGACAAAATGCAAAGTGTCACATAAGCTCTAAAAACAAATTGAACAAAAGAAAGGACCTCCTGCAAGTCTCTTTGAAAAGAAAAACAACAGATGTTGGCCATGGAGTGTGGTGGCCCATGTTCGAATTCCCAGTTGTATTATTTTTTTTTCTTACTGTGAGTGTGGATCCGTAAAACGAAGTCTTGTGCTTTCAAGATTCCTGTTGGTCTCACTTTCCGAAAGGGTGATCTGCTTTAGAACCAGTATTCCCATTGATCTGTTTTAGCATTTTGTAGTAAGCAGCATTCCATCCAGTGACAGATGTTGACAGAGATGTCAGCATTCCAAAAAGTGCACTGCCAACCACTATATCATCCAGAAAGAGAAAGAAGGATAAGGTTATGGGCATAGCACTCAATGCTCTTCTTTATTGCGTTACAGTCCTTGGGTGGGCACAACTAGCAACAGTGGCTCTTCCTTTACACTCAGGTCTTTATTTTTTGCCCCATCTTCAGTAACACAGCTCTCTTTGTTCCGAGCAAGAGTCCTTCACAGTCCTTGAGGTAGAAGATTTAATAGAGATCTGTATATGCAGAGCATGTCTTCTTTTACTCAACTCATACTAGCTTCCTGGACACATTTGTGCAATTTTCCTGGCAACACTATGGAAATAATTTGCCACTGCACTTTTGTCATGACTTTTCCCCCCCTATTCTTTTCCAGTCTAGTTTAAAGCCTAGGACTTCTTAGTAGTTACTCATACAGGTACTAAGCAAACCTATATCTGATTATCTTATGTGCCAAATAAAATCAACTGTCTGCTTCCTGGTGGCACTCTTTGTTTCCCAAATGGTATTATTGTTCCACATTAGAAAAATCTCCATTTGCTTCCCAAATAGGATTGGTCCCCATTGCTCCCTAATTGACCTTACCTCTTTCTTTTTCTTTCTTTCTTTCTTTCTTTCTTTCTTTCTTTCTTTCTTTCTTTCTTTCTTTCTTTCTTTCTTTCTTTCTTTCTTTGTTTTTAATGAGGTCAATAATTTTAGAATAATGTTCTCTTGTTTGCCTTCCAGTATAATGAAACATGGATGTTTAATAATTGCACTAAAGCAACATGTGAGGGGAACAACCGAATTGTTTTGGTGCCGCTTCCACAAGCTGAGAAGATAATCTGTGCCACTGGACTTGAACCAAAGAAAATAGTGGATAAAGATGGTTGCACAGAACGCTATGAGTGTGAATGTAAGCAAAATAGATTACAGTATAATATTCATATTTACAAAGGAGTAAGCTCTGTCAGGTTTAACTCCATCTCTTGTATGCAACTGTGTAGCATTCCATCTTTGGTTTCTGGAAGAAAAAATATTATATTTTAATTTTATGTAATATGCTATTATTTCATATATATGTGTATGTGCATGTATATATAACCTATAGCATCAGCCAAGTTATGACATATTCTTTTTCATGGTTACAAGACAGCTCTGTAGTTCTTCAAATGTCATGGTTACTAATTCTTTCAGTGGTGAATTAAATATCCTTTGTTAAAATTTCTAAAGACTGCATGCCTAAATGTGTACCTTTTTAAATGTTTCTTATAGGTATCTGTAAGGGTTGGGACCATTACCATTTTATGACTTTTGACGGCACTTCTTACACTTTTCATGGCAATTGTACTTATATCTTGGTGAAAGAGATTGAGAAAAAATATGGAAACCTCCGTATTTTGCTTGACAATAACTTCTGTGATGTAGCTGCTAATCAATCCTGTTCCAGATCCCTGATTATATATTACAACTCTATGGAAGTCCGACTAACTAGTGTAATACATGAAGGAGTGAGAGTTAACAAGGTAAATTGATTTTAAAAATAATAATGTTTCAACCAAATAATAGAGAAAGCTATAGTTACTGTATGTTAAGACAATATTGCAAAATAGTAGTTGAATCTTTAGTTATCATAGAAAAAGAATTTTTTTTAATGTTGAACTTGAATTAAAGTTTATTTATGGCATGATGTTTCCCCATACAAATACATTTCATAAAGTTCAGATAAATATCTTCCTAAAAACAATGCCATTAGGCCACATCTTGGGGGAAATAGAAGCTTCCAGATGACTCACAGAGCCACATAGTGATGGAAGGGTGGAACGGAAAGTATTGTTATAAATAAGTCTAGGCTACAACTAAACACCATTTTAAACTGAAGCAGTGGGGATATCCAAATTTTTTTACTACCGGTTCTGTGGGTGTGGCATGGTGGGCGTTGTGTGGCTTGGGGGGCGTGGCAGGGGAAGGATACTGCAAAATCTCCATTCCCACCCCACTCCAGGGGAAAGATACTGCAAAATCCCCATTCCCATCCCACTCTGGGGCCAGCCAGAGGTGGTATTTGCCAGTTCTCCGAACTACTCAAAATTTCCACTACCAGTTCGCCAGAACCTGCTGGATTTCACCCCTGAACAGAAGCCATTTTCCATGTAAACAGAAGCCTACCAAATCACAACACTGCCCTTTGGAAAAGATGTTTGATAGGGACAGAAGAGCATTCACACATCCAACCCGTCACATTCTAGTTGTCCATTGATTATGTGCCTTCGGAAGCTGCAAGCCTGAACAGTTCAGCCAGCAGCATTTATACTCAGGGGGAAAAAAATTATTGCCAATTATGTATGGTTGCAATTTCAAACAGTTGGACATCATTGTATCATACACATGGAGAAACACGCACGTGGGAAACACACACACACATACATACGTAGCATGTGTGTATGTGTATGTGTGTACACGCACATACTTATACACCCTATACAAATAGTTTTTTTTTCTTTTTCTTAATATTATGGTTAATCTTCAGTTTGATTCACAGTCTGGAACTGGTAAAAACTTAACAGTTCAAGTCATAACCAGCGATGTAAGAGCTGTTGAAGTAATGTTTCGGTATGCAGGCAGTTCCGAGTAAGCTGGTTTGCTGCAAAGTCAAAATATTATTACTATTATTATTTGAATGTTAGCTTGAACAGTACTTTGTGGGAAAGGCAGGTTGCAACAAACAAATTCTATTTTTAAAACATTCTAAAAGGCAGCAGAACATAAGCATTATAGAAGCAATTGAACTAAAATGCATTAAAATGACGTCAGGTAAATTGTTCAGATTTACATTGCAGTATGCTCTTCAATCTCCTTTATTTTGATGTTTCTAGATCTTTTTCGGCAATGAGTCTGTCCCACAGGGTTTTGTCAAAGATGGCATTGTGGCTACTAGTACTGGTTTTATCATGACGATTGAAATCGCTGCCATCGACAGTTTTGTTTCGTTCAATGGTTTCACCTTCTTTATTATGCTTCCATATAAACTCTTTCAAGACAACACAGAGGGACAGTGTGGTAAGTAACAAGAATAAATAAAATATTTCAGCATTTTTTCTTCAAGGAGGTACCTTCAAAAGAAAGGAATTGCCTGGTTTAGCTCTGCAGACTAAAGCACCGTAATTAACATCCAGCTGTCTGCAATTACTGTAAGTTCGAATCTCACCAGGCTCAAGGTTGACTCAGCCTTCCATCCTTTCTAAGGTAGGTAAATTGAGGACCCACTTGTGGGGGCAATAAGCTGACTTTGTATAAATATACAAAAGGATGAAGGCTATTGCTTAACGCATTGTAAGCCGCCCTGAGTCTTCAGAGAAGGGCGGCATATAAATCAAATTAAAAAAAAATTAATACATAAATATGTCCACTATTATAAAAATCAATAACAAACTAAAGTTTAGCAGTAAAATGATGTTTAGCAGTCAGAATATTTATCTTTCAAACTCCTTACATTTCCATTTATAAAAGAATTCAAAGATGCTGCTACCTACTTCTAGCTAGCTGAATCAGTGGCTTGATTCAGTTCAGAAATAAAATTGCCTTCAAGATGGACTTAGCTTTCAATAATTTCATTCATGCAGAATGGCTAAACAGTGTTATGAAAATGGTCTCTCACAAGTTTCTAGGGCATACAAAACCTTTGCCAGACCTATCCTTGAATACTGCTCACCTGTCTGGAACCCACACTGTATTTTGGACATTAATACATTAGAGGGGGTCCAGAGGTATTTTACAAGAAGAGTACTCAACTCCTCTGCTCGCAATAAAATTCCTTATACCACCAGGCTTGAAATTTTAGGCCTGGATAACCTTGAACTATGTCGTCTACGTTCTGAACTAAGCTTAGTACATAACTTCCTACCTGTTAATGACTACTTTAACTTCAACTGCAATAACACAAAGGCTATCAATAGATACAAATTAAATGTAATCTGCTCTAATCTTGATTGCAGAAAATATGACTTCAGCAATAGAGTAGTAAATGTCTGGAACACTCTACCTGATTCTGTTGTTAGTTTCTCTAACCCCAATACCTTTTACCTTAAACTGTCTGCCATGGACCTTACACTTTTCTTAAGAGGTCCCTAAGGGGGCGTGCATAAGTGCACCAGCGTGCCTGCCGTCCCTGTCCTACTGTCCCCATTTATATGTATTCATTTTATGTGTTTATGGCTATGTTTTGCTTATTTATATCCATTTATTTGTGCCATTTTTTCATTTGTCCATGTCTATGTCTATACTGATACTGTTTCCTTGTACTTGTTGACAAAATAATTAAATAAATAAAATAAAGTTTTTCCTGGGATATTTATCCCTTTTCCAGTCTTAACAAATAACGTTGGAGTTCCGAGGTGGTTTCCCATTCAGTTTCTAATCAAGTTCAACCCAGTTTAGGTTGTAAGACAAGCCATGTAGGCTAGGTGATGACACTTTCTAAGTGACTTGATATAAAGTAGGGCTGTGAAACTCAATTTCATTGAGGGCTGCATCAGGGTTGTGTTTGACCTCAGGGGGCCACGATGGGCGTGGCTAGGGTAGGCATAACTATCTTGATGTCACTCATGTCAGGGGTGCCTGTGGCGGCCCAAACACTCTGCCAACAAAAAAAAAAGGCTCCCAATCTCCGTTTTCAGCTGGGACAGCCTCCTGCAACTCTCTGTCAGTGAAAACAGAGCTCAGGAAGGAGGCCAGCCCAGCTGAAAACGGAGATTGGGAGCCCGTTTTCACTGGCAGAGGCACCATGGGTTGGTCCTTTGCTGTTTCCAGGGCCGCCCCGCGGGCCAATTCTAAGCACCCCGTGGGCCAGATCCTGGCCATGGGCCTTCAGTTTGACACCCCTGATATAAAGTAAATTTACCCATACATATACAAATAGACACAAATACTGATGTGAGTCATCATTCACAATGTGTGTGTGCTTGTATGTTACAGAAATGTGCCCATATTATATCATTGTTTCTTATTATTGAAATAGGAAATCCATCCTGGCATCCAAATATTATTCCAATTTGGCATGCTGAATATTCATACAACTTGCATTTTTAGCCTGCTTATGATTCGCCTCTTTTTTTCCTTAGGGAGTTGTTCAAATGACCAATCAGATGATTGTCGCAAGCCCAATGGACAGAAAGCTTCCTCCTGCTCAGAAATGGCTAACTACTGGCAAGTGCCTGATATCAATAAGCCCTACTGTCAGGTGGAGCCAACAACAACTCCTCCAATGAGCACAACCATGCCAACTACACCAGTGGAGACTACACCAACACCAACACCAACACCAACACCCTGCAGCTTTCCATCACCTTTGTGCCAGTTGATTATAAGCGAGTAAGTGAAACTCTGCTTTTTCAAACATGTCCTCTTTTGTCTCTAGCACAACAAATAATATGAGAGCTTCCCAGAAAACATTGGAGGCTCATCAAATATAAAGTTACTGTACTTTGAATAGCAGTGTCAGGACCTGAACTAGGGATGAAATGCTCCCGGTTCGGACCGGATCAGGTGATCCGGTAGCGATTGTGGCAGGTGGTTCGGAGAACCAGTAGTGATGGCGGCGCAAGGCTCCGCCCACCCACCTGGTTTTAACCAGGAAGTAATATGTTTTTTACCCTCTGCGCATTCACAGAAGGTCTGTGCGTGCAGCGCATGCACTTTCGAATCAGTAAGGAAGGTAAGTAGATTTTACCCCTGACCTGAACATGCATCATATGAAAGATTGTGAGGTGCATGCACAAGCATGCACTTATATTCATTTATATGCAGAAACATTTACTAGCATGTGCAACAGAATTGCTTGAGGGTCAGATTCCCTGCTTCGCTGAAATTCTGCCATAATGAAGACTAATCTGGCCTAACCCTAAATATATTTAGCCATGTAGTGGGGCTGAATTGCTATTATCCTTCTCTTCTCATCTTTCCTACTATCTTCTCCTATTGGTATCTTATGATTTATCACTTGTTGCTTGTATTTTATGATTTGATTGTATCTATGCCCTAAAGGTGCTTTTTCAGGAGGCAGCTGGATTACCTTGTTTCTCTTTGAAGATGTTTCACTTCTCATCCAAGAAGCTTCTTGGATGAGAAGTGAAACATCTTCAAAGAAAAACAAGAAAGTCCAGCTGCCTCCTGAAAAAACATATTTGGGACAACCATGACCTGAATGACTGAGAATCTCCATAGATATTGTATCTATGACTTACCACTTTGTTGTTTGTATGTACATTGATAATTTATCTACCAGAGGCAAATTTCTTGTGGGTCCAATCACACTTGGCCAATAAAGAATACTCCAACTTGTTCTGTATCAGCCCATCAAATAGATATCTACAAGCTACTCCTATTCCCCAGTTCTATTCACTCACCAAGTCTCTCTCTCCTCTTTCCCTTGCTTCTCAGCAGCCTGTCACTTATCTGGCACAATGATAGGAAAGGGAGCTTCACCAGCAGAATAGCAGTTCTTGGTAACCTGGCCATTATCTGATTATTGAGCTAGGAAGCAGCAGCTCTAACAGCAGTCCAGATGGGAGGCTATTTCAGTCCACAACCAATCCTTGGGCCATGAATGGTCTCCCCAACTATACATATATCTTCTGTAGTAATATTATGATAACTCAGAGAATTAGGTATTGCTTTGTATTATTTACCAGATATTCAAACTATCTTCAGATTTCTTATATATCAGATAGAATAGTAGTCTAGGAATATGGCCTAGCAGTGCAGAATCAGAGTTTTTACATGCTTCAGTATCATGTCTTGCCACAAGGCTTACTCTTTCAGTTGTACCTTCACCATGAGAAAAAAAAACTTGTTTAATTGATATTATGTTAATTTCATCTCCTGGTTTTAAAGCATTTTTGCAGATTGCCATAAAATTCTGTCTCCAAGAGAATTCTATGAAAGCTGCCTCAGTGAAACATGTTTGGCTTCCAATGATTCCTTGAGTTGCTTTTACATTGACATGTATGCCTCTCTTTGTACGGCTAATGGAGCTTGTGCCGACTGGAGGAGCAAAACTGAAGGGAAATGCCGTAAGTAGAGAATGAAATGTTTCTGTTTCTGTTAAAAGACCAAGAGTCAATCATGCAAACTGAACAACAAGGTGATACAGGCAAACATTATTTGCATCTTGTATCCCCTTTTTTGCCCCAGACTTTATTATTGTTTTTGAAGGATTGAAAAGCAGAATGCAAGGTAGCAGGAAATGTGTAAAATACTGGGAAGAAAAGGAGTGGATTCCATTTCTTGGAAGTTGCACATAGAACATAAGCTTTAGCTAATTCTTCATTGTATTCCAGTCTTCAGATATATCTGCTCCCTCATATCAGTCTTTCTGTTCTTCTAGAACAGGGGTGGAGAACTAAGGTGCTTTTATGACTTTTGGACTTCAACTCCCAGAATTCCTGAGCCAACCATGCTAGCTCAGGAATTCTGGGACTTGAAGTTCACAAGTCATAAAGCGGCCATAGCTGCCCACCTCTGTTTTAGAATATGATTTTTAAAAAATTATTGTTTGTATTGCTTTTACAAATATTCATGGTCATGAACATATCCAACACACCTTTCTCCTCCTATTTTCCCCACAACAACAATTCTGTGAGGTGAGTTGGGCTGAGAGAGAGTGACTAGCCCAATGCCAACCAATTTTTATGGCTAAGGCAGGACTAGAACTCATGGTCTCCTGCTTTGTAGCCTGGTGACTTAACCATTAACAGTAATAAGCTTCAAGCAATAGCAAACATCCTCAGTTCTGCATATTATACTCTGTGGTGGGATTCAGCCAGTTTGTACCACTTTCAAAGAACCGGTTGTTAACCGGTTGTCTGAGCAGTTTGGTGAACTGGTTGTTGGAAGAAATCATTAGAGCAGAGAACCGGTTCTTAAATTATTTGAATCCCACCACTGATTATACTGTATAGTATAAATCAACTCTGCCAGTACCCATGTACATCATATTCTACAGGATACGGTATTTTCTAGAGCCTTGTTGTTTGAATAGATACATATACTATGTTGGTTAACCATCAAAAGAGAAATTGCCTATTCACAAGTCTTAAATTTTAATTAGTGGAAAGTCTAAAAATACTGGACAAAATTGCTTATTAATTCACTAAATTGTTATCACTTATTTTTGACCTTTGTTTCACAACAGAAATGTTTTTACAATAATGAAATGAAAAGCCGATTTGAGGGGGGCGGGGAGACCTCAAAACTGCAAAGTTTCTGAAAATATCCTAAATATAACTCTTTCAAGATCTGTTTTAAACAGCTCAAAAACAAATCCAAAGATGTTATTTCTGTTACAAACAATGTTTTTTTTCCCCTTTTGCAATTAAAAATAATTAATTAACACTTGCAAGTTCATCAGGACATAAATGTTTTCCAAAAGGAAGAAGTTGCCCTTCCACTCCATGAATTTATAAATACTTAAGATTGAGTCCTCAAAACTTAATAGAAAGCACTCTTAGTGGAATAACATGGGGATTTGACTGTTTTCTTCAAGGGAAAAATAGAGAAAGAAAGATAAATAACAAGAAATAAAAGTTAAAAGGTCTCTTTCCTACCCCTGATTCTCCAAACAGTTTGAAATCACTTGTAGATGTTTTACTGGTTTTGTTGTTCTACAAAATCTTTGGAGAAAGAGGATGTGTATCTATATGTGCCATATAGATTTTTCCACTATTGGAATCATTACCATTGCCTGTTTATAATGTGTTTTATTCTCTCATTTACAGCCTACGATTGCCCAAAAGACAAAGTGTATGCTCCTTGTGCCCCTATTCATCCACGAAGCTGTGAAAATGGGTAAGAAAAAAAGAAAAATAATAATAACGGTATACTAATTCCTTTAACAAGCACATTTTTTATTTCTTTTAATAAGAAATGTGACTTGATGGAATATTATGAATTTAGACCCAAGTGTGACATAATGACAGTTTATGTATTAATTAGAAAAAAGTTATTTTAAACATTTTTTATCTATGTAATGAGGTATGAGCAAAATTAAAGTTTATGTGAACTAACATTACATCTTGCTGTCCTTCTACACTATGTCACTTCTGTGACATAATACTGTCACAGTACTATGTAATTAAGTTCTGGAATTTTATTTTTAGTTATTTTTATTATTTATTAATTTATTCAATTTGGATGTCGCCCAATTCTAACATAGCCCTGCTTTTTCAAATTTCTGCTCCAGTCTGGGGGGAAAAAACCCTGCTTTTTAAAGAGTTGCATGACATCTAATATTTGGATACTTTAAAGCAGTTACATCTTTTGTTTGGGCTCACCAGAAAAATATTGGACTCTTTTAAGGAATTCCAGGAAAGTCCTAAGGTTGTGTAAGCTGCAAACTTTATTTGTGAGTGGCACTCTAGTATTCTAGAAAGGAAACTGTTTGATAAGTCATCTCCATGTGCTTTACTTGAGAACATGGTTCAGACTCAGTCTGTCTTAACTTTCATATTTGAGACAGGCGATTTAAAATGCTAAAAATGGATTTTTGAAGTATCTAATTTTGAATAATTATTAAATGGAAAGTAAGCAACAAGAATGACCCTTTCTGAGTGTCCTTTCTACATTCAGATCTCCTATCATTAGAGCAGAAAAAAATAAGCCAATCCAAAGTACATAGGGAATATGCATGGCCTTGAAGTTTGAAGATGCTCAAAGATCCCTGCTTCAAAAGATTAGATCCTAGTGGAGATGATTTTTCAGAAGACACATACAAGTAGTCCTCAATTTACAACAGTTTGTTTAGTGTTGGTTCAAAGTTACAATGGCACTGAAAAAAGTGACTTATGACTGTTTTTCACACTTATGACCATTGCAGCATCCCCATGATCACATGATGTAAATTTTGGATGCTTGGCAACTGGTTTGTTTTTATCATGGTTGCAGTGTCCCAGGGCCATGCAATCACCTTTTGTGACCTTCTGACAAGCAAAATCAATGGGGAAGCCAGATTCACTTAACAACTATATTATTAACTTAACAACTACAGTGATTCACTTAAACAACCCTGACAAGAAAGAAATGGCATCCTGAACCAATCAAACATTTCCCTGCTCTGGCTGGACAAATGGCTACTTTGACTGCTAGAAGCTGGGAAAGGAATGACATAGAATTAGCCCTGAAAGTACCAATTTTCTTTTATGCTTAAAGAACTTAACACATGATTTTTGTGGGATTTTTTTTTTATTTTTTTTTTTTTTGCATCTCTTCATGATGTGTTTTTCAAACATTTCATTACAAAATGGAATACACCGTATTAATCTGTCTGGCAACTATTTTATTACTGAAAAGGGAGCAGGAATGTTTATATATAATACTAAAAAAATATTTCAGTAATATATAATTTTCTCCATTTCTTGCAGATTAGAGCATGACCAGAATGACCATGTTGCTGAACGATGCGTTTGCCCAGAGGGCTCAATCTTGTTCAGTTCTCACACTGGCCTCTGTGTTCCAGAATGTGGTAAGTTTCTCTTTTCATTATGAATAGTGAGGCCCCACTGATTACTAAAGCATACAACATATTGATAATAGATAGAATCATCTTTATATTTGGCAGTTGGGAAGAACAATCATATGGTTTGGGAGGGAGGGAAAGATGGCCTTTTCAACTTTGCTTTTCCAAGGAAATTAAGTATACCAGCTATTGTGGCCATAGTCTTTTCATAACTGGTTTTAATCCAGTAAAAGAGAATATTTATAGCTCAGGGTTGAAATGAGGGGTCTCTGGTGCTCTCTGAGTTTGCTTGCTTTCTTGCAGACATTTCATTACCCAGACTAGGTAACATTGTCAGTACAATGTTCAGAATTCCAAGTTCATTGTGGTCTTAATGTATCTGGATGCTTCCATGTTGAAGAAGACTGTACTATATTATCTGAGCAAAGGACATCTGTGTGAATTTTTAATCTTCTTTTTAATAGGTTGCGTAGGACCAGATGGATCCCCAAAACAGGTAAGTAGTTCATACAGAATGCTATGTCATCATGAACCCAGGGAACATCACTAGAAAAGGACATCATGTCACTTTTGATTGAAGATGGGAGACCATTTTACTTAGAAACATCAAGGAGCTTTGGTGGCGCAGTGGACTAAGTGCTGTTAAAGTAGCACTTAGCTGCCAGCTGCCTGCTGCCTGCAATTACTGCAAGTTCAAATCTCACCAGGCTCAAAGATGACTCAGCCTTCCATCCTTTCGAGGTAGGTAAAATGAGGACCCAGATTGTGGGGGCAATAAGCTGACTTTGTATAAAAAAGAACACCGCTTAGGGGGGGCCAAAAACCCTACTAAGCATGTATATACAAAAGTATGAAGGCTATTGCTTAATGCATTGTAAGCCGCCCTGAGTCTCTGGAGAAGGACGGCATATAAATCGAACTAATAAATAAATAAATAAACACAAAATGGGACAATCTGTCAGTGCAGGTAGAGGCAGAGTCAAAACACATGCCCAAAAGTTGTTCTTAGAAGAGCAAGATTAAATTAAATGAAAATAAAGATTCAGACTATACTTGGATAATAATAATAATAATAATAATTTTATTTCTATACCGCCCTTCTCCCGAAGGACTCAGGGCGGTGTACAGCCTGTTTAAAAACACAAACAAAACAACAATATAAAATTTAAAATAATTAAATAAAGTGGCTCAGATTTAAAACCCCAATAAATTTAAATATCCCAATTTAAAAGCTATTGTGTTGTTAGTCCGGCCTGGCGGAATAATAGGGTCTTCAGTGCGCAGCGAAACGCCCGGAGGTCGGAGATCTTACGAATTTCCGGGGGCAGTTCGTTCCACAGGGATGGGGCTCTCACAGAGAAGGCCCTCCCCCTGGGCGCCGCCAGTCGACATAACTTGGTTGACGGCACCCTGAGGAGACCCTCTCTGTGGGAACGGACTGGTCGGTGGGAGGCTATTGGTGGCAGAAGACGGTCTCGGAGGTACCCGGGTCCTATGCCATGGAGTGCTTTAAAGGTGGTAACTAACACCTTGAATCGCACCCGGAAGACCACTGGGAGCCAGTGCAGCTCGCGCAGGAGGGGTGTCACATGGGCACAACGAGTTGCGCCCATAACCACCCGCGCGGCCGCATTCTGGACCAGTTGGAGCCTCCGAGTGCTCTTCAAGGGGAGCCCCATGTAGAGAGCATTACAATAGTCCAACCGGGAAGTAACAAGGGCATGAGTGACCGTGCGTAGGGCGTCCCGATCCAGAAAGGGCTGCAACTGGTGAATCAGGCGAACCTGATAAAAGGCCCCCCTGGCCACGGCCGTCATATGCTCTTCTAAAGACAGCCGTGCATCCAGAAGGACACCCAGATTGCGAGCCCTCTCTGTGGGGGGCAGAGATTCACCCCCAATAGTTAGCGATGGCACCTGCTGACTATATCGGGGCGCCGGAAGCCACAGCCACTCGGTCTTGGAGGGGTTGAGTCTGAGCAAGTTCTTCCCCATCCAGACCCGCACGGCCTCCAGGCAGCGAGACATCACATCAAGGGCATCGTTGGGGTGGTCTGGGGTGGAGATGTACAGCTGAGTATCATCAGCGTACAGATGGCACTTCACCCCAAAACCACGGATGATCTCACCCAGCGGCTTCACATAAATATTGAACAGGAGGGGTGAGAGGACTGACCCTTGCGGCACCCCCCATGTGAGACGCCTCGAGGTCGACCTCTGTCCCCCTGCCAACACAAACTGTGAGCGGTCGGAGAGGAAGGAGGAGAACCACCGCAAAACGGTGCCCCCTATTCCTAACCCCCTCAACCGCTGCAGCATGATACCATGGTCGATGATGTCAAAAGCCGCTGAGAGATCTAATAGGACTAGGACAGAGGAGCAACCCCTGTCCCGAGCCCTCCAGAGATCATCCACCAACGCGACCAATGCCGTTTCTGTGCTGTACCCCCGCCTGAAGCCCGACTGGTACGGATCTAGATAGATAGCTTCATCCAGGTGTCGGGAAAGTTGTCGTGCCACCACGCTCTCAACAACCTTCGCCACAAAACGAAGGTTGGAGACTGGACGATAGTTAGCTAATTCAGCCGGGTCCAGGGAAGGCTTCTTGAGGAGGGGCCTCACCACCGCCTCTTTCAAGGCGGCAGGAAAGGCACCCTCACTCAGAGAAGCACCTATAATCCCCTGGAGCCAGCCTCGTGTAACCTCCCGGGAGGCCAGTACCAACCAGGAGGGGCACGGGTCCAATAAACACGTGGCGGCACTAATCTTACCCAGAACTCTGTCCACATCCTCGGGAGTCACAGGATCAAACTCCTCCCAGATAACATTCTCAAGACCTGCCCCGGTCTCCTCCCGTGGACTCATCCAATCGGAGTTCAAGCCATCCCGAATCCGAGCGACTTTATCATGCAGGAATTGCACAAAATCCTCAGCACGACCCTGCAAGGGATCTTCCCGTACTCCCCCCCGAAGAAGGGAGTGGGTCACCCTAAACAGGGCAGCTGGGCGGTTCTCTGCAGATGCAATAAGAGCGGAAAAATGGTTAGATTTTGCCGCTTTTATCGCCACTAGGTAGGTCTTGATATAAGACCTCACCTGTGTCCGGTCAGAATCGGATTGACTAGTCCTCCAAATGCTCTCTAGGCGTCTTTTCCGACGCTTCATCTCTCTCAGCTCCTCAGAGAACCAAGGAGCTAATTGAGATCGGCATCGGGTCAGAGGCCGCAAAGGCACGACGCGGTCCAAAGCTCCAGCGGCCGCCCTTTCCCAGGCGGCCACCAGTTCTTCAGTCGAGTCGTGTGTTAGAGTCTCAGGAAACGGCCCAAGCTCCGTCAGGAACCTTTCGGGATCCATCAGGTGCCTGGGACGGAACCATCTGGTTGGTTCCATCTCCCTGCGGCGGGGGAAAGCGGTAGGAAAGTCTAAGTGAAGGAGCGAATGATCTGTCCATGACAAGGGTTTGATGTCTAGGTCCCCTCTACCAAGATCATTCAACCACTGACCAGAGATAAAAATCAGGTCCAGAGTGTGTCCCCCTATGTGAGTGGGGCCTTGAACTAACTGGGTCAGGTCCAAGGCCGTCATGGAAGCCATGAACTCCCGAGCCACCTCTGACGCCCCACCTGTGGATGGGAGGTTGAAATCCCCCATGACAATAAGTCTGGGGGTATCGACCGCCACCCCGGCAATGACGTCGAGTAGCTCGGGCAGGGTCGCTGCCACGTGGCAGGGAGCCAGGTACGTAGTCAGCAGACCCATCTGCACCCCACGGCCCCACTTCACACAAAGGGACTCACATCCGGCTATCTGAGGAACAGTGGTCTCCCTTGGATAAAGACTCTCCCTAATGATCACCGCCACTCCCCCACCCCTCCCCTGGGCCCTTGGCTGATGAAATGCACGGAAACCTGGCGGGCACATCTCTACGAGGGGGACCCCCCCCTCTTGGCCCAACCAGGTCTCCGTAATACCTGCCAGGTCTGCACCCCCCTCCGAAATAAGATCACAGATGAGGGAGGCCTTATTAACCACTGACCTGGCATTACATAACATCAGCCGCAGACCCTGGGTATGAGGCTCTATACAACCTAGGACACGAGTCACGCATTGGGGGCCGGAGTGCGCAATCGCTCGGAGACAGCGTGTGCGCACCCCCGACACTTGATATGACCCCCTGCGCCCGTCATACCTGCCCCTCCCACTCATGATTTCAATTACACAGCCCTTTCTATCGTCCCCCTGCCCCCCGGTTAAATTTCCTTTCGCGACCCCTCTGCTGCAGCTAATTAACCCATCATCCCGTGCAGACGCTATCTGGACCCCCCCAGGTCCACTTTTACAACCCCCTCCCTCCCTCCCGGGTCCCCTTAAAATTTTCCTTAAAAATTTAGCTAAAAAACCCCTCAGCCCCCTCTTTGCTGCATGCCATCTCTCGGGGTCCCAAAGCCCGTCATCAAGATAGGCCCTCGATAACGTGGAGGGCCAGGCCTGCGAGAGGGGGGAGTCTCGCAGCGCAAGAAGGTCGGTTTTTTGGAGCATCAACCGAACCAAAGATGGGAAAAGAAAAGCCAGTCCAGGAATCTGTCATAGTCCAAGGGATAACTGAGCATAAAGGTCATAAAATATCCATTTATAGGGCTGGACTCCACTGTCCTCTCACGACAGGGAGAAGGTCCAAAGTTCTTTTTCTCCAACAGAGGCTAATGGCCAACCATCCTCTCACGATGGCCGGTCCCGTTAGAAAGTTAATGGGAGCAAAGTTCTATCCTCTCCGTTGGGATGTGGAAAATCCCTCAGCTCTCTCAAATGGTGCACAGTCTCTCCTAGCAGTGAGGGCGTGAGTGGAGCATAATAAGGGGTCCAGAGTGTCAAAGTGTAGATGTTAATAACGATGGTAATAATAAAGATGTTAATAAAGATGATAATAAACCCATGGGCACAAGATCTTCTTTGAGGTGAGAGTAGGAGTAGCAAGACAGGAAAGTCCAATCCAGGGGTGGTTGGCCATAGAGGCCAACACCCACCCATACCTGGGGGAAAAGGGGGGGGGAGGAGAGGCCACCCGAGGCGACCAACCAACCAAACCATGGTCAGCCTCCTGCCTCTCCAGCCCCAATCTCCATAACCCCCAGACACAGCTTTGTTCTAAAACACCCCATCACAGTAAAAAAATCAACTGTGAGCCAGATGGTAATTCTAGGGGTGAGGCTGTCAGCTTCTCCCCCATCAACCTGCTGCCTGGTTGTTCCTCTGGCCGGCCGGTCCATGTCAGCCATTGCCACCGCCGCCGCCGCAGCCGTCGTCAGTCCGCAATCAGGCACCCCAAGCTTCCAAGGCATATCGGAGCCCCGAAAACGCTGGAAAAGAGCGCCCCAGGGATCTAGAGGGCCATAGGGAGCGGGGGGGGGCACCTCAAGCCGCCGCCGAATAAACGCCGCCCGCCGCCGGATGCCTTGGCCTCCATTTCCCCCGACACCGGAAACAGCCGTTGCAGCCAGGCCCATCGCCCCATCTCCCGCGGAGCCGTCCAGCCCTGCCCTGATGCTCCGGAGGGCGAAAAAACCCTCAGCAGGCAGGGCGGACGCTCCCCTCACTGGGACTGGAGCCGAAGATGGACAAGAGGGCTCCTGAAGACCCCGACAACCGGCAACTCTCCCATCTCCGAAACGGAGCTTATTTGGTCGCCGCCATCTTGGATAGCACCTTGTAAAAAAAAAATTAACTAAAATATCAAATTTAGGGAGCCAATTTGGTGTTGTGGTTAAGGTTCTGACCTAGAAACTAGGAGACTGTCGATTCTAGTCCCACTTTAGGCATGCAAAACTGGCAGAGTGATTTAGACTAGCCACTTTCTCTCAGCTCAACTCACCTCGTTGTTGTTGTGGGAAAAATATGAGGAGGAAGGAGTATTGGTATGTTCATCATCTTAATTTGTATATGAAAAAAAGCAGGATTAAAAAAAATCATGCTAACTACAATTCTCGACTTCATGTTCACTAGTATTAAGTTTATATTTATCAGATAGAACACTTGAAATGATGCATAGCTAATTTATCATAGTTTTTGTGGTTTGTAATGCCTTTCTTGGCCATTAAATAAAATCACCATGAAGAAAATCTCTTCCAAATTTTAAGGAACAATTCAGCAGGTATATCTGACATAATGAAAAATTTAAAGCCAAATAATTGCTCCTTCTTAAGTACACTGATGGTCCAAGTGATAAATTAAAAAATTATAGTTATCATTGCATTCTCGTTAATCTGACTTTTCTTTATGACAGCCTGGTAGCAAATGGAAGAGCAACTGTCAAGAGTGTACATGTGACCCTTTGACCATAAGCATACAATGTGAACCACAGAGATGCCCATTAACAACTGAAGTTTGTGAGGAAGAAGGATACATACCCACCCCTGTGGTAAATCCAGAAGATCGATGCTGCCCCACAATAAAATGTGGTATGCATTATTTGTTTACTTATCTCTAATACCAAAAGGGTTTTGAAGCTCTGTTGTGCTCTCTCTCATACACACCCCTGTATCCATATACCGCTTTAATATATTACAGGCTCCACAAACTTACCACCACAACTTCTGTTGCCCTCTGGTGGTGCTATGATTGCTTGGAACAACAAGGGCTGTGGCCCAGTGAACCTTTGGACCCAAAAGTCTGAGAAAATGATCTAAAGAAACGATATCAGGGTGTTGCACATCCAAGGTCTAAAAAGAAATAAGAAATGATCAGTGAAAACTTCAGGCTTGCTTGAAGGTGGAATTCACACAGAGAGAGAGAGAGAGAGAGGGAGGGAGGGTGGGAGAGAGAAATGATATGTGGAATGACCTTGAGAGGCAAGTCAGCCAAGGGAAGGATCAGTTAAAGACATCTTAGCCTGCAGCAAGAACGTGAACAAGGCAAGAGCTCAAAAGATATTCTCTCTAGTTTTGGAAGCTATAAAGGAAGTAATTTCAGACTTGCAAGATTCTATGATTGTAATGTTTCAATAAAGTAAAATTAGCTCTTCTTATCATGTTTTCTGTCTGGCTGACACACACTCTGCCCCCTTCACCAGCACTTTTGAGACCAAACAGGTTTATCTGGTTGTGGTTGCTGAATCTTCCGCATACTCTGAGTTTGAAAGAAGAGCGGGGAGGCATTGTTATGCCTAGAAAACACAGGCATTTCAACTTTCTGCCACCACTTATCTTTGTAGTATCATGATGAACAATGATCCAAAGCTATTCCAATTCCTAGAAACAGAAACAAGAGAAGTAATAATTGAGTCTTAAAATGTTAATATTAAGTATGTTTCCATTAGAGAAAAAGTAGACCACCTATCACTTTTTAGAGAGAAAAGGTTGAGAGAGAGAAAGAGCATCTAACAGGGATAGCAAATGAACACTCAAAAGAGAACTAAATTACCAATCCACATATTTGATATATATGAGAGATAGCAATCTTTGGAGGTTCAAACACCCTGTATTCTTCACACACTAGCATCATATGCTTCCGATAGAGATTTTAGACAGAAAACTAGACATCTGGAAATGTTCTTTTCCTCATTTCCTAGAGGATCAAGGTTATGTGCACCCAATATGATAGGATCTACTTGTTCTGATATCACATAAGAATTATAGATGAGATGGCCATCATCACACAAAGCCAGGCAAGTCCAAGTGTTTGGGGCCTCGTTCAGTTCTTTCTTCTTTTTGATCTTTTCCACAGTATGCAACACCACTACGTGCTCCAAGGTAAAGAAGACTTGTAAACCTGGATATCATGTAGCCTCAGTCTCTTATGATAAGTGCTGTGCCGACATTAAATGTGGTAAGTTCAAACTCTAAGATAAATGGACTATATAGTCTAAGGGGAAAACAGCCATAACCAGGGGAATTGTAGATGAGATGAAACAACATGAGAACATGTAGGATGGATGTATTCCTAACTTTGGTTTCTATTTGTATTTTACTGTATCTCATAACAAACTTTAATTTAAAAAATGGGAATTTAGGGTAGCTATAGAAGTCATTATCTAAGCATAAGAGAAGCTGTTTTGTGCTGTTTTGTGTTTTGTGAAGTTGTATTGAAATAGCATCCCCTATTTTAATATTTTACCTAATCTAATTATTAATAACAAGTCTGATAAAACTGTGAAATCCCCATTCAAATGTTCATTCTGCAATAAAGATTGACATTTCATATTCACATATTGACTGAATTTGGGGGGGGGGGTCTAAGAGGGTGGCTGGCTGCTGTAAGCTTTTTGGAGGAAAGCAATATAAAAGTCATAAATAAAATGAAATAAAAGTAACTTTGTATATAAAGTATTTAGCTATCTTCTTACTATTAGTTATACCTGGCTAATTAAATAGTATTAAATAGTCAACGTGGGAAGTTCAGACTGACCCAGGAGCTGTTGATACAGTTCTACAGAGGAATTATTGAGTCTGTCGTTTGTACTTCTATAACTGTCTGATTTGGTACAGCAACTAAACAGGCAGGTACAAAAGATACTTAGGACCGCAGAAAAAACAACTGCAACCAGCCTGCCTTCCATTGAGGACCTATATGTTGTACAAGCCAGAAAGAGGGCTGCAAAACAGAGTCCTCACATCCTGGGCATAAACTGTTTCAACTCCTTCCTTTGTGCTGTTTCACTATAGGGCATTGCATGCCAAAACAACTAGACATAAGAACAGTTTTTCCCCTTGTATCATCACTCTGCTGAACACTAATCCTCACATTATTTCTGATGTCTACACACGCACATGTTGTGTGGCTGTATTATCTTCTTCTTCTTCTTCTTCTTCTTCTTCTTCTTCTTCTTCTTCTTCTTCTTCTTCTTCTTCTTCTCCTCCTCCTCCTCCTCCTCCTCCTCCTCCTCCTCCTCCTCCTCCTCCTCCTCCTCCTCCTCCTCCTCCTCCTCCTCCTCCTCTTCTTCTTCTTCTTCTTCTTCTTCTTCTTCTTCTTCTTCTTCTTCTTCTTCTTCTCTATCCCCTCTTATTGGTATCATTATTATGATGATGATTATTATTACTCTGTTGCTTGGCATGTACACTGAGACCTTCTGCATTGGAGACAAATTCCTGTGTCTAATCACACTTGGCCAAATAAAATATTCTAATTCTAATTCTACTATTCTAATTATTAAATTCTTTTTTTTTAATCAATCTGTTTTCACATTATACTATAAATAATTGGTTTCTTTCTGTTTTCAGAACCAAATGAACATGACTGTTTGGTTAATGGATCAGTTTATAAGGTAAATAAACTAATATTTATTATTCATGTATGTGAATAAAACTGTTTTCTACATTTTCAATTATAAATCAGAAGTTTAGCATGAAGATCCAAACTGTACTCTGCATTTCACCGTCCCTGTCAGGGAAAGGGTTCATTGGCTTGAGCTCTAGGGAATGAAACAAGAAGAGATATCTGTGAGGGGGACCCCAGATATCAAGATGGTATTTGTGATGGCACAGTCAAAGCCTTTTAAGTCTATAAAGGAGAGTCTATTTAGAAAGTCTATTTGTAGCTTAGTGTTGAAATGAGGATATATATACAGATCATTACTGTAACTAAACCAAACTCAAATGCTGTCTTTACTCTTATGAGAATTATACTGAATTGTATTCTATATTTTGTTCCCAGTCTGGAATGACTGTTCCTGGTAAGCCCTGTGAAATATGCACCTGTACTTCTGTTACGGACCCTGCTACCAAGAGAAATGTTGTGGAATGTAAGCCAGTTACCTGCAACACAGATTGTCCCATGGTAAAAACAAGTCTTTCCTGCCTAAATGTAGCTTAACGGGATTTTTACAGGAGGCTATCTCTCCATCAGTATTAATTCCTACTGTCTGTTAACAGGGTCATGAGTACCAAGTAAAACCTGGCGAATGTTGTGGAAACTGCATCCAAGTGGCTTGCATCGTCATCATTAATGGCACTGATGAGATACTGGAGGTAGGATCTTATCATTTGTACTGGGCACAAGTGAAATAATAGGGTATTCCTGCGCTTTTGCTAACTAATCTGAACTCCTTGTCAAGTTGTAAGTCTGCATTGTAATGCCTACTTTCTTCATAGCACTGGCAGATGAGAACTAAAGTATCCAAATACCATAAGATGTTAAAATGTGAATAGAACTCAGCATGCTTCCCTCCTAATATATTGGACTATACTTCATTATCCCCAATCTACAAAACCGGTAGCAATTGATAGGATAGGAAAACTGAAATAAACTGAAAACAGGTAGTCCCCGATATATGACCACAATTGGAATCGGAACTTCCATTGCTAAGCGATGTGGCCATTAGGCAAAACATCATGTGACTGTACCACTTAGCAAGAGCAGTTCCAACAGTCCAGGTTGCGATCATCAGGCCAGGCCAGTGCTATTGATAAGCAAGGACTTCACATTTTTCCTGCTCTGCCGTGCTTGCCTTCACTTCTGCCTTATCTTCTGTCCCATTTCTGCTCTTTTGGGTACGCTGCATTATGCCACATACCCCTGCTGCTCCCCAGTGCCACAGCCCACAGCTGACCTTTGCTGTCTTCTTATCTCCTGCTGGTGGCCCTGAATCCAAGCGCTGGACAAGGGTGCAGTTCTGAGATGCAGTGAGAGCAGTGCATCTACCAAAGGGAATTTGTCAGGCCCAGTCAGGAAGAAGGCAGCAGGATGCAAGGCAAAGAGACAGTGGTGGCTTCTTGAGAGAAAGGATTATGTGGGAGGTGTCGTTTGGCGAGGTGGGAGAAGAAAGAGGAAGAAAAAGTTGGTGGAGAAAGAGGGTGGGCGGTGCAGTGCACACTCTGCAGCCCATGTTACACTGCTAGAAAACCAGCCATTCACAAAAGCATCTAGGCACTGCCACATGTGCTGCCAGTGCTAGGATATCTAAACAGCCAGGCTCCTCTTGAACAGCACCTGAGGCCATACTAGGTGGGGAATTCTGGAAGTTGAAGTCTATACTGTACATCTTAAAGTTCCTGAGGTGGAGAAACACTGATCTAGATGTATCAAGAACTTTGGTTCATAATTTTCTATTGTAAAGTTTACAATTAAAATAACAGTCCTCTCTCATACTCTCTCTTTCTCCTAATTTACAAAAAAACAGCCTGAGCAGATAAAAACGGATAACTGTAAACAGTACAAATGTGAACCAAGGAACAATACGCTAGTTTTGGTTGAGACTAAAGAAACATGCCCCTTCTTTGATCCAGACTGCAGTCCTGTAAGTTTTCTATCGATTTTTAATTCTTTTTTTTTTTTTCATTTATGGTCTAAATTTGTTGAATATAATTAATATGTTTTTTTTAAAAAAAACTCAAACCAAAGATCTGTATCAAATACTCATGATCAACATCCATCATTCAAGATTGAGATTAATGTTATCGATTATTCTTTCTAATGTTTTTTATTCATAAACATTGAATAACTAACAGTTGCCTCCTATACAATAAAGTTGTGGATCAATTTATTTGTTTAGCAAGAAGAAATGGTGGTGACTAAAGCTAGGAGTGTGTCCCATCCCTCATCATCCAGCTCACAATACATTCAGAATGAAAATATTCATATATTCAGTATGAAAATGTTTTTTTAAAAACTTGTATGTATATTTGGATGAGCAGAGTTATCACACTTCCCGCATTTAGAAACTCAGAGGTAACAATTTGTATTGCTTTAAGTATCAATCTTATCCACATTATAATCTGGATTATTTTCTGGAATCCCTATTATTTTCTGGCAGAAGAGTAGAGGTCACACATTTGGATGAATTGAATTGAAACTGTTGGGTTTTCCTCATTCTTATCACTAGTGAACTATAGTGTTCTTTAGGTTTTTTTTTTTTTTTACAGAATGTGATGTTCCTCAATGAAAAATCATAAAATGCTTCTATTAGTAAAAGTGTATCTATTCACTGAAATCATTGTTCTTTTAAAGAGATAAAGAAATAATGCATTTTACCACTTCATAAGCAGTAATCTATTAATAAGCAATAACTCATAATCAATTCGTAACTTGCTGGTTTTGATTCTCCTTTTTGGAAACATTGAATAACGATAGATTGAAGCATTTTGTTATATAGGTAGTTGTTACGTTATTAGGCAATTAAAAACCCCTACTAGAAATATCTTTTAATGCACATCAAGATGTGATATTGATTAAAATAATAACACAAACTTTCTTTGTTGTCAAAGGATCAAATTGAATTGACTCACAATGGCTGCTGCAAGATATGCAAAGAGAGTAAGTAAACAACAATTTAAAAATGCATAATTCCTAAGGTCTTTATTAAGTAATTTGATCAGTATTACCTCTAGCTCTTCATTTAAATTTATGAATCAAAATGTTGAAGAGGACAGGCCAAAAACTGAATCTTCTGCATCATTAGAGATAAATTGTCTCCTGAGATTCCTAAAACATTTTTTTTTCAATTTCTTTTTGCTTATATCTTTCATGTCATGGACTCTTTTCTATCAGGTCAGCAAAACCTAGTCTGTTTATGACATACATCTTGCACACTTAAGTAATACTCCAGTGTTATTAATTATTGAATTCCTGAGAGTGAAAAATGAAGGCTTTGTGTGCTTGTGTAACATTCATCATTATTAGTATTGCTGTTGAGCAGATGGCAACATCTGGCATACCTTATCTGGACTAAAAAGCTAAGTGGGAAAAGATGATTAACACGTGAATGGGCAGCCACTAGGGAATTCCAAAGTTGTAGGAGAGATTGAGAAGATCAAAAAATAACTTGGAAGGAAACAAATAGTAGATTATTTCATTAATCAGCAACTACAACAGTGAATATGAAGACTAAGTGAAAAGTAAAACATTTCCTTTTTACCTTTCATTTTTTAGTACCAAACTGCAAGCCACACAAGAATCAAACTCTTATCCGTGAAAATGAATGTGTATCTCCTGAAACTGTTGAATTGACTTACTGTGAAGGAACTTGTTCAAGCTCTTCAGTGTAAGTGACAAAGAGGCCTATCCTACTCTTAACTATTCATTCCTCTACTGGGTAATGTGATATTCATAAAATATCAGCTTCATTTGCTTTTGGAGACAAGAGCTCCTTTCAATTTGCTGGTTGGTTATGTTGGGTTGTTTTGATGATTGGGTGGCTATGTGCATTTTTAATCATTCTGACCAACTATTTGTTGGAGTTTTTAAACTCTATGGTAACCCCCAAGACCTATTTGAGATGGACAATGTAAAAAAGCATGTAATAAGTTACATTTTACCAAAAGTATCTTAATTTTTTTTTCTCCACCCGGACAGGTATTCCCAAAAGGAAAAGGCATTTCAGCATAAATGTAATTGTTGCCAAGAATTCAAGAGCCATAAAAAAGAAGTAACCTTAACATGTCTGAATGGCACAACCATCATTTATGACTATTTATATGTGGATGAGTGTAAGTGCAAAAATGCATGCTAGTTCGAAGCCTCAACCAGCTAGGAGATTTTTTTTTAATTTTTCTTAATCCAAGACAAATTCAACAATCACTTGTCAGAAATCAGTCATCATTCAGTGCTACTTTGGATCTCTTCCTGTGTCCTTGAATCATATATGTTTCTGTTGGCCAGTTGCTTAATCAAATTAATCTCCTTTTTCATGTAAAAAAAAAAATTACATTCATTCTGGCAAACTGCATTCTCATTGGAAGGTTTTTCTCTTTGGAAAATCTTCCAAGTAATCCTAACATAATGATAGAAATGTATAACATTGTAATGTAGAAAATTAAATTCTTATATGTCCATGCTTCTCTTGCTTTGCTGATTTTTTTGGGGGGGGGAGGGCAGGAGTTACAAGTCTTTAAACAACATAACATAATCTGCTGGCATAAACCTCTGTATAGCACCAATGCAGATACTAAACTTACTTTCCCATTTAATTCTGCTTTTTTGAGATTAATAAACAATACTTGAACAAGTTCAGCTGGTATAACTATTATTTTCATTCATCCAGCTGCTGGCATTCATTAAAGTCAAACTATCACACTGTGATAACTTACTGTTTAATTATATAAAAAGAGTAGGACAGTCCTTCGCAACTAGTAACCTTTAGAAGGAATTACATAATTATGATCAATAACCTGCAAAATAAAAACATAGCACAAACAATCCAATGTAACATGAACAGTGTAATGGTCATATAAAATGTAAAAAATAAGATTAAAAAAACTGAGAAAGAGAAAAATTGAATGTAATACAATCAACAAGATAAAACCTAAGGTAAGTAGAAATACAATTACATAAAAATGCAATAATATCAAAGAGTAAAGAAAGATTTCTTAATGTCATCATGATAAAATAGGGAAAGGTTATGGCTTTGTATGAAAATCACTGCAAATAGAAACTGTGGGCAATGGTAGTATTTCAGGTTCATTCTCACCACAAACACAGGGTCCATCAGCCAAAGGGGGCCATATAGTACCATAGAATATTTGTAGCTCAGGACTGTGGGGTTTTTGGTGTTCTCTGAGTTGTGGACACTTTAGACTTATATACCACTCCACAGTGCTTTGCAGCATTCTCTCTGAGTGGTTTACAAATGTCAGCACATTGCCCCATATCATGACCTTGCTTGCCACAGTTGTTAAATAAATCACTGCAATTGTTAAGTTAGTAACACAGTTGTTAGTGAATCTGGCTTCCCAATTGATTTTGCTTGTCAAAAGGGGAATCACATGACCCCAGGACTACAGCTGTAATAAATAGGAGTCAGTTGCCATGCATCCAAATTTTGATCACATGACCATGGCGAAGATGCAATGATTGTAAGGCTGAAAAACGGTCATGTCACTTTTTTCAGTGCCATTGTAACTTTCAACGGTAACTAAATGAACTATTGTAAATTGAGGATTACCTGTATAAACATTTTCCAGGTTGCAACCACCACTGAAGGATAACTATAGCATCCAAATTCATCTACTGTGTAGTGTCAAAGATTATTTGATGGATTTCAGCTTTATTTCTCTTTAAATCTAGGGGTAGCAAAGAGTAGATAGAAAGGCCACAATAATCACTGAATTGAATGAATAGTCAGCTAAGATTTTTTTTTTCTTTCCACCTTGATGAAAAGCCATGAAAAACCATTAATGAGACCAGGGGAACTTTGGAAAACAGGAATTTAAGCCAACAAGATAATTGGCTGATATGAACCTTTTCTCCCAATGGAATCATGTCAGTTTTCATTAAAGCATATGAAACACAGGTGAATGCAAAAGAGCACATGTAACAATCTATCTTGAGCAATTTCAGGGATTTTGAATCATTGTAGGCACATAACTCTGCATGATACAGCATTTGGGGTAGAGATATGGCAAATTAAATCTGTTTAAAAAGCTTGATGGTGGCAGGTAGGCATCTGCTCCTTTAGAATGAAAAAAACAAAACAAATAGGATTGCCTTGACACTATTATTAGCTTTGGCAGAAATACAATCGTTTGTGCCAAGCTCCAGAGGCCTGAAAAAATATGTCAAAGCTGGAGCTCCTTCAAATTTTGATGTTACTCAATTTACCTTTGATGTTTGTGATAAGAAGAAACCCAAGAAAACCACAATGGTGATCATAGAGTGATTGATTGTAAGCCCTCACTTCTTACACTGTTCTGCTAAAGCCAGGCAACTTCTCTCAAAGCCCACTGAAAAAGTGACTGCATCAGCAGCAAACAGCAGTGTTGGCAGATGCCCATCACTGAGTTTAATGGATGGGGCCCCTTTTTGATTAAAGTAAATACCACTGAATTCACAGACATATTAAACAATAGGAGAGCTAGAAAAGAATCCAATTTTATTGCTTGAGGGTTAAAAGCAAAGTAACTATGCCTTCCCCCCACCCTAAGGATTACACCAAACCTTAAAATTCCTTACAAACTATGGAAATCCATAGATTCTTTTCCCCCCCTTAAAACCTAAAATCTTTTCCTTCCATCTAATACTCTTTTATTCTCTAATGCATACATTTCACTTATTGTTGCCCCTGTGTGTTCATCTTGTTAAAAGTAGTGACATCTATTTTATTAGAACTTACTATACTTACAATGTCAACTGTCTCTTTCCAGTGTGGCCATAATTAATAGATTTGGTTGTATTTTCAAGCAAATCTTGTAATTGTCATCCAATTTTGACCAAATGCGAAGGTCATGTGTTCGGTTCTTAATAGATGAAGCAGTGAACAAAGCTTCAAATTTGAAACTGAATGGCCAAGTTGATAAATGTTGTTTTCCAAACTGCTGCTCAAATCAAACCTGGTGATTAGCACACACTTCTTCCTGAAAACATTCTGAAACAGCCACCAACAAAATTGAAATCACCCATTATCCGATGTGTATGGAAACAAATTCTTATCTGTCTGTCCTCCGCAATCCCTTTCACAAGGTTACAAAATGTCCATGATTTTGTAAAGGCCATAGCAACAAAAGATGCTGTGTTCTGAATCCATGCTGAAAGGCTTTTTTTTATAGAAATAGGCACAATGCAACATTGCAATCCAGATGTTTGTTCACAACTCATTCGTTATACTGCATTAAGATCCCCTGATTTTCCAGCTGGTCTGATGATTGTGTCTGGTGAGAGGTGGTCACAGCATTACAAGGCTTCAATTTAAGAATTCTTCCATCTTGAACTTAGCAAGTCAGTTATTTTGTTCCTTCAACAGAAAGTAGGTAGAGTTAGGTTTGCTTGCTGAGCTAACTGATAAATATGTATGGTTCTTCCTTGCCTCAAAAAGCCATCAAAAAGATATTGAAAATGTATCTGAGAATACCTGTATTAAGAGAAAGTTAAAAAAAATGAAGTACCAGTTTAAAGAAAAACTCTGTATGTTAAAGAGGATGAAAAAAGGGTGAAAGAAAGGTTTTTTTCCCCTTTTTTTTCAATAAGGTCAAAGAATTTGAAAGCATACAATACATTTTGTAAATAAAAATGGTGACAATTCACAAAGATTACTAAATACACATTATTTCCATAGCAAGGAAGATAAAGCAGGAATAATTAAATTGATTATTTTATTCAAAGAGGAAAATATGTTCTTATTTGGATATCACTTCTGGAATTTGTGCTTGTGGGGAAAAAAATGAAACTTTGACCTTGGTTTTGTTGATTAGAAAGATTCGGTGTTATAGGAATGGCTAGTTATAGATTAATGTGTAAAAGCAAAAAGTTGAGGTTGAAGTGTGTTTATCGTGTATTGTGCTAACAAGAGTTGGAATGCCCCCTTTTCTTTCTTTTTCCCATTCCCCTTTTTCCCCTCACACACCCCTTTTCCATGCTCCCTTTCCCTCCCTTAATTTCCTATTTTTTTTCTTGTTTGTATTTTATATAATAAAAATAAAAATGATAAAAAAGCCATCCATCCTTATCATATAAGGCTATGTCCTGACTAAAATCTGAGTGCAGTATAAATGGTACTGTTTTTACTTCAGTAAAACATACCATAGAGAACAGGTAGCTAGCACATTTTGACTGATTTTGAACACATTCCTACATTTTCAGATCCTTTTCAGCAAACAGTTCTAAAAGCCATTAACAAAAATATTTCAGGCATAACTCAAGCTGCCTCCTGGAGGCTTCGATTTTTGGCAGAAGGTTAATGAGAATCATTTCGATAACAAGGATACTGAATTTCTTGACAGCAGAAAATCTGATCTTTGGATGAACAGTATAAATGAACTACTGTAGATAAGAGAAATAGGGTAACCTAAGTACCAAGGTTACTAAATTTCCTTCCAGTCGAAGCTCTCTTCAACAGTCAATCATTCACTCAGCAAAATGCGCTAAAGACCTTATTTCCCTTCAGTCTTAAATAGCTAACATTTGCTCAAAGCCTTAAATAGACAGCTTAAGTCATGTTTCCCAAACTGATGATGTACGAATGGCATCAACTTTCATAACCCCCAAAGATGCCACTCTAAAAAGCCCGCCTTAGGCATGAGGTTTGGCAAATTTCTGCCATGTCAAAATTCACAAATTTGAAAGGAATGAGTACAACTCCAACTCGTTAACTTGTTTCTCTTCTTGAGCTAGCTATTCACATTTACACAATATGCACATGGCACATGAATGTCATTTACAACTGCTTCCTGCAATTGGTCATTTATTTAAACTAAATTTTACTTAGAACAGTGTCTTAAACACTGAGAAAAAAACAAGAATATTATCAGTAGAGTTGTAGGCAGCTGGCTTTACCAAAAGTGCAGAAGGGATTAAAAGCCTATTTCCTGTGTCTAAGGTTAATTGGAACAAAATTCAGAAGCATAGTCAGTCTAACTGAACATTTTCTCATTAAAACCCAGAGGTGCTGTATCTGCAGATAGAAAAGACTGCTTCTGTTTGAAAGTTCTTCTGCAAGTCATTTCTCCCTGAAATGTAGAACTGCTTATTTTGGAACAAGGTCCATCTTTGGGAGCATAGTGGCAGGGAAGAAGGGCAATTGTCATTTCTCACTCCATTCCAATTTCTGTTGAGTCTAGTGGCTGAAATTGGTTGCTTAAAGTAAATAGCTCATCCACCCTTCCTAAAGTAGAGTCTGTACAGGAGGAAGCTCTTCAATTTTCAGTTGTTTGCAAAGCTGGTCCGTCCAGTCGCTGTTCATAGCTGTTCCATCTTCTTCCCTGTCAGGGTGTTTAATCTAGCCAGCACAGAATATAATTCTGCTACCTGCTCACAATAGAGAAGCGGCTGGAGCAAATAAAAGAAAATGAAAACACCGAGTTTGTGTCATCAAGCAGAGTGATTGCCCACTGATCAAATAAGAAA